ATCTGAAAACGCACTGTAGATAAATGCAGTGGTTTCAGGTATGGATTAACTCCGCTCCGATAAGAGTGCGGTCATAAAAACAGTTGTACGGTCTCGAATAATGCCCGGATTTCTCGCCGGATCTTCTCAGTGGGTTGCGTTTCCGATCCGGTGGTAGATTCTACGAAGCACTGCTCTTGCTAGTGTTAGTGTTAGCAACGTTCTCAGGTTAGAGCCCCGTGAGATCACCTATTCGTCCGGTTACACTGGCATAGCTAAAAAAAAAGAATAATACCGCGAACATTTGACTGGTAGTAGGACCTCTTGTGAGTCCGCACGGGTAAGTACCACTGCCCTGCCTATTTCTGCCGTGAAGCAGTAATGCGTTTCGCTTTGAAGCGTGGGGCAGCCGTTGTAACTATACTGAGACCTTAGAACTTATATCTCAAGGTGGGTGGCGCATTTACGTTGTAGATGTCTATGGGCTCCAGTAACCACTTAGCACTAGGTGTGCTGTGAGCTCGTCCACTCATCTAAGTAATAAAAAAAAACCCTTCGGTCACAAACTTTAAATACAATTATTTATTATATTATAATTCCAATTATGTAATCCTGTATTTCCCTAAGCTGTTTAAATAGTGTAATTAGTAATAATTTTTGATATATTATATTACGCTGATGTTTTCTAAATAACTAGGTTGAGCTTAGGTTTCATAGTTCCGGATAAAGTTGGCTCAAAGCATCCATGCGTTTCGTTGGAGGATACGGAGTGTTGGATAACCGTTTCCAATGCAATTAAAACTTTAACCTCAAAATGTCTTATTCGCAGTGTGGCGCCGCCGCGACTAAAATTTAAGTGGTATAATCTATGACAAAAACCGGCTAGGTTTCAATGATTAATTATAATTAGTCTGTGTCCTGAGAATGAATATAGATAATACACTAATATACTATACTATAATAGGTGCGAATAAATAAATGCAGAAATAAATTGTTATCATCCACACAGCTTTAAAATATATTTCCAATAGTATTCATGAGGAATTCGAAGAGCGAAAGAGGTTTTTAATTTGTTTACATAATACATTTTAATATTTACAAAATTTATCGTAATAATATTCGCAGCGTCGCGCCCCGTTCTCGCACTCCAGCGTTCAGAGATGAAAATGTAAATATTCCTTAATTGGGTCGCGGTGAAAATATTTTAAACTTTCTACATTTTATTCCTGTTTTTTTTTTTTGTTAATTGGCGAACTCACGTTTCGCCCGTGCTCAATTGAAATTAAAANTAATACATTTTAATATTTACAAAATTTATCGTAATAATATTCGCAGCGTCGCGCCCCGTTCTCGCACTCCAGCGTTCAGAGATGAAAATGTAAATATTCCTTAATTGGGTCGCGGTGAAAATATTTTAAACTTTCTACATTTTATTCCTGTTTTTTTTTTTTGTTAATTGGCGAACTCACGTTTCGCCCGTGCTCAATTGAAATTAAAAAAAAAAGAAAACAAATAACTGTGAATTAAATTAATTTAGTAGGATTAGGTACCTTTGTGAGAAGTCATTTTGTAATCCCTATTCTACTATTCACCATGACTTATTCTTAATATCCATAGTATCCTACATAAACAACTTCCTAACCCCAATCTCCACAGTTGTTATCTTCAGCATTGGTAGTAGGTATGTTGAGTGCTAAATTGAGTCCTAATTAGTAAAAAAAAAGTTGCTTAAATAGCACCCCTTTTTTAAAACAGACAATAAATATAAATAAGAGAAAAAAAAATGCTATTTGAAAGTATTTTTATTAGAACCATAACCCATTTTACCATTTTTACCCAAAAGTCATTTTGTACCTAATGTGTCTGCAGCTCAAACACTAGGAGCAGCCTTAAGGGACCTTGGTAGCCGTACTTGTCGAACTCGGCAAAGAGGTCGACGTGCAACCTAACCTAAACATCCGCCCGCTGAGTTTCTCGCCGGATCTACTCAGTGGGTCGCGATTCCAATCTCGTAGTAGATGCATTCGTGAAGCAGCTGCCCGCTGCAGTACACACCTGTCCTGGTGAAACTGGAGAGGCTTCTGGGCCACCAGTAATGCTTCCTTCCTAAAAAAATCCTAATGTAAGAAGAAATGAATGAATACGTATGTAAGTAGTGTATTTTCACCACCTCGTCGATTAAGACGAAAAGTTCAACAAGCGAACTAATTCTTAGATACAACCTACTGAGTTTCTTCAGTTCTTCTTAGTGGTTGGAGATTCGGATCCGATGGTAGATTCTGTGAAGCACTGCTCTAGTGTTAGCAGAACATCTCAGGTTGAGCTCGTAAGCTCATTTACTCGTCCGGGCATAGCTGGAATAGCCCTTTAGGCTAGGTAGGTAGGGGAAATAATAGCGGCCATACTTCGCCCACGCGTGACGCGGAGGCCGTTTGTCAAATGATTTTGTTTTTTCAAGAATATCACTCACTAAAACAACATTAGTTATTTCATTACCAATCAAATAAGTATTACAATCCGCTTCTGACAAAGTAGTCCATTATTCCGTTTTCAACTCTTAAATATTAAAAAATGGTAATATTTCATTTAATTATATTAAAGGAGAAATGTTTTGATTCAAATTTTCATATCACAAAACTATAATTTTAGTGTATAGCAAACGTTCTATGTAATGTGAAATTGCTATATTGTTCGATGCGTGTTTAATAAAAACTTCTAAATACAGTAATTACTTGTCCACCTGTCAACTAAAAAGTAATTAATCAACTTGTCAGGGGCTATCTACTAGAAAAAATTATAAATATGACGGCGTTAACGATATTTATGTTATATAGCACGTGCAATAGGAGTGACTCACACAAGCCAGGCGCGCCGGCCGTGTCGTTCCACTCGTAAACAACAGCTGCAACAGAAGTGACTCATAAGCCAGCTGCGCCGGCTAGTATAAAAAGGCGGAACGTGCCTTGAAATGAACCCATTCCGACAGGAGCCCTCTTCTTCGATATAGCGAAGGCGTTCGACAAAGTCTGGCACAACGGTTTGATATACAAACTGTATAACATGGGAGTGCCAGACAGACTCGTGCTCATCATACGAGACTACTTGTCGAACCGTTCGTTCCGATATCGAGTCGAGGGAACGCGTTCCCGGCCCCGTCACGTCACAGCCGGAGTCCTGCNTCTGACCCCGGACGGAGATCGGACGTCGGGTGTAAGAGTGCAGGGGAGTCGTTTAGTGGGTGGGCCCTAAAATCCTTGGGCCCGCGATCTGCTCTCAACACCTGCAGATCGTTGAGTCTCACATACCCCGCGCGCCCCCTAGGCGCGGGGACCTCGTAGGAGGTTCGGCCCCCGGCCCGAGAAAAAAAAAAAAAAAAAGGTAACTCCTCAACATTAAACAGGCCTCATCATAAATGCAAATGTCAAAAAAATAAAATAAAAAAAAAACATGTTCACGACCGACATCCGCGATGAGAGATTAACAATGTGTAATAAAAATCAATCAATTTATAAATTTGCATAATTATTTGTGGCAGGACGCCCGCACAGGTAGGTTCGTTCCGCGTGAAGGCGTCAAACTTGCTGAGAGCATTCACCCTGTAGATATTATCTTAATACCAAACAGACTGGTAAATCGTTCACCAAACCAAGCCATAATTAAACTAAATTAAAAAGTTTTTAATACATCAAAGCATTTCTTAGATATATCTCAATGAAAATAATATCATCAGTTTGTCTAAGCCCCGACCCTCCACGTTTCGGCCCTACCTATCCAATTTTTATACGACGCAGTTTAATTTTGTTGAGAGCAAAATTATTCCCTTCGGATGTTTACGCGAATAAAATATTGCGCCATTTTTTTTCTCCTATGATTTTTCATGTGTGACTTTATTGCAAAAGTTTTTGAATGGGAAACCTGTTTTATATTTAAATGTACTCACAAAGTAGGTATTTGTATCTAACACAATATTAGCATTTATGTGTACCTACTTTTTCCATTTCATTCGATTTTAGTTTACAGCATTACGTCTTAATAAAGTACATAAATAATAAGTACACTATTTCTAAAATTGGTATAGGTATACATAGATATTTTCTACGGGTAATCAAATCAAAGTATTCGCACGCTTAGACTATAATTTTTCGAATATTCCTTAATTAACGTAACAAACTGCAAAGGCATCTCGTGTAATATTTCTTGAAAAAATTTCGACGCCTTCGAAGTCTAAGTCGAAGTCTATTTTCGAAGTTTTTGAAGTCCATTCCGAGTTGAGTTTAAAGACTACGTCAGCGCCATGAGGAGCCCGCGTAGTGCTGAGCTTTTTTGCCAGATACGTCGTGATCCCAATGATGGTTGTCGTAGGTTGCGATGGGCAGCGTTACGAAATGACGGTAACGTATGCCCCAGAACTTAAGATACCTAAGCTTAATATACTGAATTGCTATTGGACAGTTGTTATTAAGAGCCGATCTGAGGAGCTACGCTAGTTGTGGGATGTTGCTGACTGGCTTTGAAGGATGGTGTAAATTTTTTACACGTTTTTTATTTTAATTATCAAAAGCATTACATTTTACATCCGCACCAAAAATCCACATATCTAAATTAGTTCAATATTATGAATTTAGCAAGATATAAGTTAACTTTCCGAAAATATTTCAATGCCATAATTATAGAGAACACTTATGTGGCAACGAAACCCATAAAAATCTACTCTGATGCATGTTAAGTAGTTGACACAGTTAAATTGTTCTGTTTTATTGTAAAACAGCTCGACAGCTCTCGGTCTAAATTTGTTGATTTTTGGAGGGATGGGACGTGTCTAATTCTGTGAATTGATTTCTTGAGTTGGTTTGATATTTCTTCGTTTTTGAACATGTTGCATAAGATTTAACTATATGGTTTACAATCCTTTGGCCTATTACATAGTCAAATAAAAACAAATAAAACATTTGACATTGACAGTAAAGTAACTTGGCAACAGCAGCGTAATGAAGTTATCAACAAACGGAAAGTTGCGAAACTTGAAAACAAACTGCTGAATGGGCGTTGGCATACGATGTTACAAACTAAAAGTTGGAGTTACTGATAAACACTGATTATAACCAGATAACTGATCGCCTTCTATACGATAACAAATTTGATTCAATATAGGACACAAAAGATAAAAAAAATACGTATTTCATACGGACGACGCGTGTGTGTGTATCATCATTGTTATTATTCGGTTTTTCTTAATTACTATTCAATTTAAAAAAATTAATTAAATTAAAACAGTAAAATTATAATGTCAGTTTCTAGAAGCAACAGTTTTAATTCATGTTTTCGTATCGAACAACGCCTAAAGCTTACAATTTGATTATGGTGACTCATGCGAAAAGAAAATTAAAAAAATCATATTAAATTCGATTATTGACTTATTATGTTCTCGAAAGTGTTTTTATTTTCATTGTCGTGTGTCAGTGTAGCTTCGCAGTCTAATAAGGATTTATACAATGGACAGTTTAATGCGTATTATAACAAACAAGACCAAAACAAGGAATACAGGGTCCCTAGTCCTGGCGACACTGATTACAGGACCTACATATACAATAACAGACGTTATGGGACGGACCCGACGAGGTCCAACCCTTACAACCCTAATATAAACCAACCAGGAGGATTTCCTTACAACCCCATCAACACTAACCCCCTGGATGAGCAGTTTAAATATAACACTGTAAGTAAAATTAATTTATTTAATTCTTATTTGGCAGAGGAGAATTTTCATAGTTTTTAATCACAAATTTTAGCATGAAGCTTTAAAAAATCTTTTATAGTCAAATCAAATTTCTCATTTCTAAATATGAAAAATCATAACTTAAACAACCTTATTGTATGCATGGGAGTGATTAAGTATAAGATTGCTAGGTATTGAAACCCTGCCCATATCTGCTATGAAGTCAAGAGTTCATGCATACATGGATAACATACTATGTGTACGTTATATCATAGTAATTGAACAAAATGTAACAAATAAATTCCCTAAAAAAATATCACAAATTGGTGTGAAGCATTGGTTTAACTTTATCCTGAGTTTGACTTAATTATTATGGAATTATCAACTTAAGATCTACAAACTCAATTGAATTGCGATCTTGAAAATTTAAATTACATACTAATAGAACAAATATTATTTTTAAGTTTCAATATAGTACTATTATTTATTTATTTTGCCACTTTTTGCTAAGAAATCTCATTTTTATTATTTGTTCACAGTTTTCCATCAATGTGTTATTAATCTTTTGCATCCTTTCTTGATTGTAATCACCATGTGTCTTTCATATATATTGAATGGTTTTTTGTTATTCTAAACAGAATCGGGACCCAAATAATCCGGATGCACTGTTCCCTGGTGTCCTTGGAGGATGGAGAGAAGATCTGCAGGGCAGAGAGCGAAGGGATTCAAGGCAGTTGAAACGGGATATATTTGTTACCACTAGCTATGGACAAGTACAGGGCTTTAAGGTAATAGTTATAAAGTAGCAAACAAGAAATAATCTTACGAATACAGAGATTCTAAGAACACTGGTCTAAAGCTCTGTTTCATTGGAATAAATTATTCTAAACTTTAGTCTTTATGTAACAGTTTGTGGGTATAGGGAGAATGGTGGTCACCTACCTATACCATGTCTAAAAAGATGCTCTTGGCTACGAAGCCCCCAAGACTAGTCTATATTCTGTGTTAAATGATGGATGATGTATCAATGGTATGTTAATAGTATATTTGTAAGTGTCATGCTATACTGTTTACAATTCTGAGGTGTACATTTTTCAGGTATATCTATATGATAACCCAGATCCTGATTCAGGCTACCGACCCTGGCTGACACCAGTTGAAAGGATACAAGGAGAAGTCTCTGTATTCCTTGGGATACCTTATGCAAGACCTCCAGTCTTAGAGGGTAGATTCAAGGTAAGATTATTTTTAAAAGACACTGTGTGACAATGTGTGTGTTGTATGTGTGTGTGTGTACACACAAAAAATGTTAATGAACCACTGGAAATGGAAATGTGTATTAATAATTAAGTTATATATCTATATATTAATACATGAAGCAAAAACTTTGTATCCCTTTTTACGAAAATTGCGCAGACGGAGGAGTATGAAATTTTCCACACTTATAGGGAATTAGAGAAGAAGTGCACAACGTTAATATTTTTTTAAAATAATGGATAAAAGATACATTAAATCAATAAAAAAAACATTACACACACTACATACCATGTATTTGACGCACACACGCATGCATACTATTTATTGTCAAACTTTTGTACTTGACGTCTGTTGTCAAATTGAGAATAGATTAAATATTGTTTGTCTTTGTTAATATTTTTTATAGTGTAGTCTTGGTGAAATTTGTGATTATAGAAGTAAAATACAATCATAATAGGGTACAAATTACAATTCCAATTAATTATAGTCGAATTTCGACTACTGTGGGACCTCTAGTAATAATAATTATTAATTTATTAAGTCCCTTTTGAATACTGATAAACTCACACTCCAATGTTATGTGATTCTATTAATATACTAAAATTATTCAGAAAGTTATGTGTACTTTTTAGTACATAGTAATATTCCAATTCAAATTACATGTGTATAAGATACAAATATGGAAAATCTCATCCTTGGATTTCTTGCTCAGAGACTGGTGGGAAAGTCATGACCATTTGAAAGCATCAGTAAAGTTCTATTTGATTTGAAAAAAAAGGCTGTTACCTAATAATATCTAATGTAAGTGTGTATCTGCAGTGTAGACTGATCCTGCGGTAAGTAAAGATCTAAGGTATTACTATTCATGATAATACAATCTGTTGTATAGTTTGGTCTGGAGAGTAAGGCTACGCAATTCAATCCAAGGAAGCAATTAAAAGCAAAGGTTTTTTTTTCAAGCCTCCACGACAACATCCTGGCTGGCAGTTAATCCAAGCAGTGGACTGGGGTCCAGCATGTCCCCAGCCTGTTCGCTTCACCGGAGCCACTAAAGGCATAAGGGACATGGATGAAGATTGCCTTTACTTGAATATATTCTCGCCAAACGTGAGTATTATTTTCGAATTTTTGTTTGCAAACAAATTGTTGTTACACCATGCAGGTCAACGGACTTATTAGTACCGGAATGCATGAAGAACGCGAAGTTGTGACGCGTGAAAAGGTTTATTTTTCATTTAGAGTTTCTTTCATTTAAATGTGTAATAACTGTGGTTTATTAATTGTTTAGCATCGAAGAAAGTGTACAAATAATAGTGTAAAAAAATTAGATAAAGCCGCTCGACATAGCATCTCACGTTCTTCCAAATAGTCCACTGAGAAAGTCTCCATAAATAATCACCATTTCATTGAGATGTTATTTCATCCCACCTCATCTCTTTTCCCTTAATTTCGTTCCAATTGATCTAAGTCTCAAATTAATCAATATCATCTCATTTCGCTTCTAATTATTTTTCATATTATAACAGAATATTAAATGACAATATTAGACTTGGCTTAAAGGTCTCGTTATCAGTCCATAAAATTAAAAAAAAGTACAACTCAACAAACTACCATAACTTAATGCAAATCTATCATAAATACATAGAAGATACGGCTTCGTGATGCTGAACTGTATGAGTAATAAGGCACTTTGCAATGACCAATCTGACCTCATTCGGGGTTTTATTTTCGAATAGCTTAATAATACAAACGGACCGACTAATTAATGTAATTACTAATTAACTTCGTTTTAAACCGCTTAATATGCTTTCATTTACGATTTTGTTTGATGCGACATTGTGTTGCTGTGTATATGCTTGTTTTGTAAAAAGTCAGCGTTGAGATTCTTGCCTAAGCGTCAGTTGTGAAACTACATTTGGAATCGCGGTGGTAAAGACATTCTTTTATAGGTCTACTTGTAAGAACTTGTCTGATAACAGCGTACCTCTTGTAATACAAAATAATAATGCGTTCTGGTTTGGAGAGTAGCGGTTATTGCAATCAACGAAATTTATCAATAACAATCAGGACGCTCTCTTATTGTTTGTGCCAAAATCTGATGGGACTGTAATATGGTAACATATTACAGTCCCATCAGATTTTGGTGCATTGAACCACTGGGGAGATCCGGTTCAAACAATGGCTCTTGACTGTTCACTGGTTCAAATAGTATTATAATAAATGGCAGTATCCGCATGAAGAAAGAGCCACCGCCATCCAGCATGGCTTTTGCCGCGAGGCACCTATATATTTCGGCTTAAAGAGTAGTTAGGAAGAGAACATATAGACCAGCTGATTTTATCATTTCATTATTCTCCTGCCTTTCTCTCGGTCACCTGGAATCGGCGCAAAATGTTTTCTCCTTCCATACTCCTCTATCGTATACCATTTCTGCGCTCACTCCCCTCTTAGACATGTCGTCTTTCACGCAATCCATCTATTTCTTCATAGGTCTACCTCTACTTCTAAAGCCTTCCACATTCATAGTTAAAACTCTTACCAACCTCATTGTCATTTCGTCTCATCACATGTCCATACCATCCCAAACGCGCACTTTTCAACTTCTCTATCACAGGTACCACATTCAGACTTCCTCTAACATATTCATTCCGTATTCTATCCATTCTCGTTACTATACACATCCATGGCAACATTCGCATCTCTGCTGCATGCAATCGCCTTTCATCCACCACTTTAGTGGTCCAACAAGCTGACTCATACAAGGCGGCAGGCCTTATTAAGGTCATATATATCTTCCTTTTTAGGGGAAGAGAAATGTGTGAGTCACAAGTGGTGCCCGGTTTATATGAAACTAATATTTAGGTTATTTTATTGGATGCGTTTTCTTGTATCTCTAGTCGGAGGCAGGCTCCACTGCACAGCGATACCCGGTGATGATCTACATCCACGGAGGCCAGTTCATGTCGGGCGCATCCAACCTGTTTCCGGCGCACATGATGGCGGCCTTTTATAACGTGGTCGTCGTCAGCTTAAATTATAGACTCGGAGCTTTGGGTGAGTGCGGTATAGGATGTAGATAGGCGAGGAGCTTCGTGAAGCGATTATAGACTGAGAGCTTTGGGTGAGTGCGGTACATCGTGCAGTAAGGCAAGGAGATTCTTGAAGCGATTATAGACCGAGAGCTTTGCGTGAGTGCGGCACATCGTGTAGTAAGGCAAGGAGCTTCTTGAAGCGATTATAAACCGAGAGCTTTGGGTGAGTGCGGTACATCGTGTAGCAAGGTGAGAAGCTTCTTGGAGCAATAATCTTTCTCTTTTCTTTCTTTTCAATATTCATCGTGTCATTTTGAATACAGAGTCATGTTGTGTTTTGTGAGTGTTGTCTGGACTGCTTTCGAAGTGATTAAGAAATATGAGAAAATGAGAAATGGCAAACGAATTTACGGGACCCGTTGTAACGTCATGTTCGGAGATACGTCTCAATGGGTGAGCGATATCATAATTTGTTCCAGGCTTCCTATCGACCGCCGACGAGAACTCTCCCGGCAACTATGGTATCCTGGACCAGATGATGGCGCTCCGCTGGGTGTACGACAACATAGCGGCGTTCAACGGGGACCCTGGCTCCATTACTCTGTTTGGTCCCGGAGCCGGCGCGGCATCAGCCGGTATACTGGCAATAGCTCCTCAGACTAGACATGTGGTGGCGAGAGTCATAGCACAGGTCAGGGTTTATTACCGAACAGATTTATAGCTTGATGAATTTGAACTCATGAGTGCTCACGGCAATTAGTTACAATGGCAATTAGTTACAATGGCAATTAGTGGCTCTTAGTGAAAATATTGAGTAAATTTTTTTGATTATTTTATCAAAATCTTACGTTGAGTCGTCGTCACATTGAACCGTAAACAGTAAGAACGGGAATAAGTGAGAAATATTAAATGTGATAATGAGGGTAGTTGATAAATAATGGATATATAGAATATGGCGGTACGAGGCGATTAATACAAAATGTATAAACAATTTCAGAGCGGATCAGTGTTAGCGGATTGGGCTATGATAGAAGACAAGTTCCGCGTGCAGAACACCTCCGTGGTGTTTGGCCGGATGCTGGGCTGCCCCACCGACTCCTCCTGGAGGCTGCTCAACTGCCTCCGACAAGGGAGGAGCTTCTACGAACTTGGCAACGCAGAGTTTCAGGTACCGTGCAACCAGGACTTGGCCCCGACGACCCCAGATACTCTTAAGGTCCTCCTGGCCCTCCTGGGGACAGGCGGCGCACTCGAGGTCGAAGTGTCATATATATAGTAGCGGGCCCTCTGCGCGCTTGCTGTGAGACCCTCGAAGTGCGATATACCCACACGTGAACCTGTGCAGCCGCAAGTCGGGTTCATCCCCTGGGGCCCGTTCCTGGCCGAGAACGTGTCGCTCCCGGGCGACGAGTGGTACGAGGGGTGGCGCAGCCGGGACTGGGCCCTGCTGCCCGCCGCGCCGGCCGCCATGCTGCAGGAGGGGCAGTTCAACCCGGCGCTGAGGTACATGACGGGCGTCACTACGCAGGAGGCGGCCTACTATCTGTGTGAGTTTGTTATTAAGTGAACTATAGTCAAACGCCGACTGTAGCGATATTTGTCATAGAATAGAATAATTCCAGCAAAAATATGAATTGCGGTAACGACACTTACAAAATAAGCTTTTCATTGTTGCACAGATCGATGGACGATTACAATTCATCTTATGTTAAGTGGTTACGGGCGCTTATGGGTACAGTAACACATTGTCACGAGAGGGGTTCCACTTTGTTCGATCTATGTAACGACTTTTTTTTTTAATCTGTGATCGAACGTCCTACGATGTCCCTGTGCCTACGGGACGCGCAGGGTGTGTGGGACTGCTTCAACCCTCACCGAAACGCCCGAGTGCCAGGCGGGGCCGGCGCTTCACGACTGCTCTGTCCGCAGACAACAACGAGTCGTTGGCGCCCACCTACGCGGTGTCGGAGCACTGGGTAGACGAGCGGGTGCGCGAGCTGGTGCGGCGCTACAACTACACGCTCAACCCGCGCGGCGTGTACGAGGCCGTGCGCTACATGTACACGCACCACCCCGCGCCGCACTGCGCCGCCGCCGCGCGCGACCAGTACATCCACGTGCGTGCCCCCCTGATCCCTAGCTCATAGCGTTGTATAGTCACCGTGCGCTACATGTACACGCACCACCCCGTGCCTTGAGCGCCTTACTGAATGTGTGCAGCTCCTGTCGGACTTCCTGTACCGCGCGCCGACGGACCGGCTGGTGAAGCTGCTGCTGGGGCGGCGCGTGCCCGTGTACATGTACGTGATGAACACCACGGTGGAGGCATTGCGGCTGGACGCGTGGAGACAGTACCCGCACGACATAGAATGGCTGTTCCTCACCGGAGCGCCCTTCATGGACCAGGAGTTCTTCCCCAATAAGTACCGGCTCGAGAGACAGGCTTGGACCAATAACGACAGGAACATGAGCCATTTCTTCATGAAGGCTTATACGGATTTCGCCAGGTTCGGGTGAGTGAAATGTAGATATTTTTACTTCCAACTAGAGAGAGCTCGAGGGAATATTGAAGAATGCCAAACTCGTTGCATTGCCACGTCTCAAGGTATAACTCTGGTAGATAAGAGCATTTGGCACCAGACGGATTATGGGCATGTCCACTTGCCCATTAAATCAATAAATAAATACAAAAATTGGCCCATAAAATGTAATACAAAATTTCGATGAGAATATATATTTTTCCCCTATTAAGTTTTGGTATAGACCAGTATGACAATTACACGATACTGGCAGATCTTACAACATTGGCAAATTGTAAAAAAAAAACTATATGACCAACTCTTATTATACCTAAAACTCCTGTTTGAGATGGAAACTTCAGAGAAATCAGTTAAGGTTTAATTATGACTGGCCTTTAACCATTAATTCGCAATTTTGATACTAATTTAAGTGGTTTTTGTGTCCAGAAATCCAACCCGTTCTCGAATCCTGGGCATACACTTCGAAATGGCCACCGAGGGCCAGCTGCGCTACCTGAACCTGAACACGACCTTCAATTCGAGCATCGAGCTCAACTACCGGCAGACGGAGCTGGCGTTCTGGACGGTCTACCTGCCCACCGTCATAGGCAGGGTGCTCCCCACCTACCCGCCCATCACCGAGGTAGGGTCGCCCCACCAGGCCTGGTGACTGGCCCAGGCCAAAGTACACAGCGTGACTAGCTTGTTAAATAATGAGCATTGATATTTCTTTACCAACTTAGGTAATTCAACTTAAATATTGACAGCGTATCTGTATCTTTTGTGCTGGCCAACGAGCGAGGTAGTACCCTCTTTTTTTCGGGTTGGCGACCGAACCCATACTAGGTGTCCACGTCTAGGAGATTAGTGGGGTATGTGGGACTTGTGGGTCTGATGCTAGGAGCAGACCGCGGGCCCAAGGATGTGAGGTAGCTCCGCTCCGATCGGCACTCGGCATCTATTGGTAGGGGTTTAGGTTCGCCGCCTATTTCTGCCATGAAAAAGTCTCGTGTTCCGGTTTGAAGGGTCATAGCCACCACAAGGTTTCTTAGCAGTAGAAGCTACCCAAAGTGGTTAGTCTGGGCCCGGAGCGCGCCCAGCCACTAATAACACCTCAAGCAGAGATGAAAAGATTCGCAGATAAACCAAGGTAACCGATACAACGTGAAGGTTTACGAGGGTGGAATGACGGCGAGCAGGGCCCGTTTCTCGTATAACAGCAGGGTAGGCCTGGACCGACTGGCGGAAGGTCGCGAGAACCTGAACCCTGGGGAGGCTGTGTGTGTGACAACACCGGGTCACAGTTAAGTTTCTGCTGCAGTATTGGTGGGAGCCGAAGCAGCCTCTACAGATAGCCTTCTGGACGGTCTCCAGCGCCTGCCTTCTGCTGGTGGCATTGCTAGTGGTGTGCTGCATGCTGTGGAGGAACGCCAAGCGGTAAGTCGGTGCCCCATCACAAGCTCACAGATTCTATCTCACTTAATAAAATTATAACTAACATCATTTCCGTAATTTAAACCATGGAGAGTAGAGGTAAGGAGAATCATTTCGTATGGGAGAAAAGTTGAAAAAGTGTCCCAACTGTTTGCTATGAATAACAGTTCACAAACCTCTCACAATCGCGCTGGTGTAGACAAAGGGTATGGTATGAATGTAGCAATTGTAGATGAACTGAAGTGTGCCGAGTTAACAAGTTTCGAGTAGTTCCGATCACTAACTGACTCGTGCCATCTCTGCAACGCTTTTATAGTCGATACGACATTTCTTGAATCATCGAGAACTTTCCTTACAAGCCGAGTACCTTCGATGTGTGTTTCCGCTATCCGACGATAGATGGAGTTGTAGTTCTCGAGCGTTCTAGATGTTACTAGATCCTCAGATATTCATTCGGCTATTCGGCGATAGATGGCATTACTCTTACCGGCGTAACAGTACGATTGTTGATATATTAACATTTCATTTTATGAAAAAGTATCTATCAAACCTACTGCAATAGTATTTACCTTCTTTTAAAACCTACCCTGATGTTAATGTGGCGCCACCATTATTTTATACATTTCGACGGATACTTTTCATATACACACTTGATTCTCCTTGCCTTACCTTACTTTTACCCTCCATAACTTCAACTAAACAGTCAACATTTTTAAATATTCGCTTAAATAACCTCTAATAAATAATTTCATATGAATCTATTATAACACTATTTAGTATTTATAACAAATTAAATATCTTTTCCTTCGCTACATTTTCAAAGGCATGTCGTATCGGTGTAGTGTGAACTAATGCACGCTTTTTAACAACAGGGCGGCGCCTCCCAAGTGGAAAACGGTTCCTATTCAGTTAGTATTCCTCTTAGTGTATATGTAAATATATATATGTTTTGTCTGTGTGTAATAATTGTGTTTGTGCTTAGAGTTTTACCCACATAGGGAAGATCTGCTGAGCGAGTGTCGATGCTAGGTAAACCAATGGCCTAAATGTTGTTGTTCGAAACTTTTTTTTTTTTTTTTTTTATTTCTTAGATGAGTAGACAAGTTCACTGCCCACCTAGCGTTAAGTGGTTACCGGAGCCCATAGACATCTGCCGCATAACGCATATAACGCAAATGCCGTCACCTACCTTGAGATATAAGTTCTAAGGTATCTTGTAGTTACAACGGCTACCCTACCCTTCAAATCGAAACGCATTACTGCTTCACGGCATAAACAGACAGGTTGGTGGTACCTACCCGCGCGGACTCACAAAAGGATCTACCACCAGTAATTACGCAAATTATAATTTTGTGAGTTTGATTTCTATTACACGATGTTCAGTGTGGAAGTCCATCGTGAACATTTGTGAGCTAATCTTGAAACTGTCGTTAGCTAGATACAGACTTTAGTCAAATACATTGCGCGCTGTGATAGGAATCCAGCACATGTGCAATACAAGGCTCCATGATCGCTTAATTAATTCGATAAAAATATCAATCCATACTTATTTATATATGTGTGTCCTTTTGTCAAATATATTTCCAAGCGACCATTGAACGTATATTTGCAGAGAGAGCGACCGCTACTACGCGGACGACGTGTTCGTCGTGCCGGAAGCGGAAGACGTGGGCATAGACAACACGAACAGGTCCAGGGACAACATCTACGAGTACAGGGATCTGCCGCTGAAGAGGCCGCACACTCCACAGACTATATCTAGAAGCGTGAGTCTTCATTCAGACACTACGTCTTCTCGCATTAAAACTGTATAATCTCAAAACTTACGAATTTTACAGTAGAGTGTTTTAAAGGTCTAACATGTGATATTTTTAATATTAATCATCTTTGCAACTTTTATTTTTTATTTTTTACCAGTTACATTATCTGTCATTTAAAAAGTAAGATAAATTATGTATTTATTTTGTTAATAGCAGTCAAAACATATAAACTAAAAAAAAAAAACTAAAACTACCCTCTTTTGACAGTATTTATGAGAAAAATACTGATGATTGTGGCGGGTAGCCATCATACAACGTAAGATAATTGACAGATGCCTGAATCTCGCTTACGACATTTCCAAGATAATCTTGCATATATACAAGTTCCGGACAACAACATTCGGACCGTCGGTCTAACGAGCAAATATCACCCGCTCGGTGGAAAATCTTTCCTTTCGTCGTTTAAGCCTTCCCAAAGTGATACCAAATGATTCCGCATATTAGCTCAATTTCGAATATTTTTGGAAATTGTACACTTTTAATGTGAAAAGACGACTTGTCAGATCGAAGATGTCGCGCGACCATTTTTATTTAATACGTGGCTATGTTGTGTCAGTGCCTGGTAAAGAATGGCCGAACACCGCCAAGGATAGAAAGAAGTGGTGTACCTCAGAGGAGGCTTTTACCCGGAGGGGGTCCGTACTGGTGGTAGGACCTCTTGTGAGTCCGCGCGGGTAGGAACCACCACTCTGCCTATTTCTCCCGTGAAGCAGTAATGCGTTCGGTTTCGGCCGTTATAGCTATATTGAGACCTTAGAACTTATGATTCAAAGTAGGTGGCAGCATTTACGTTGTAGATGTCTATGGGCTCATCTGAGAAGTCATTCGTGAGAACGCTATAGCTGATTATAAATAATTGTTATAGCGACATGATTTCATAACTAAGACAAATACTAATTGAACTATGTATTTAATATTAATTTCAGTTGAGTCAACCTCAAACGATGCAGTCGTCCAATGCTCCGTCCGTGGCGTCGACCGGGTCGGCTCTGTCCCTGCGCGACTCCGTGTCCAGGGAGCCGCAGCCGCGGACGACAATGGTCAGAGGGATCCCACAAACCACCGTGTGAATTGGCATAATGATCGGAAACCCTTTGCAACAATAATTTGTAAGATCTGTGCCTCCAGCGAAATCGTAGCTTAATGGGAATTGTAATTGTGAACGTAAAAATCCATTCAACGAAAATCCCGAAGGAATTTAAATCAATAAACTTCTTTCACTAGCGCCGCAGATCTGTGCCTAGACTGAATCGATTTTCATAGTCTAGTGTAATATTGGTTGATTACATTTAAATAATGTGGAAATTATAGTATTAGGTATAGTAGTTTACGGTAGGCAGCTGCTTGGCTATGCCCCTGGCATTGCTGAAGTTCATGACAGTAGCCACTCATCAGGTGGGCCGAATGCTCGTCTCTAGGGCAATAAAAAATATAAAAAATAAAGATTACGCGGAAGTGTATAATCGATTAATGGATGTCCGGACTACCGACCTACCTCATTACCTTCATTTAACAATTCTCAATCTTCAAACATCGTTGTATTATTGAGAATACTTCACTTTGAGCCAACAATTACTCTTTTTTTATGTTACTATTTTACACATTGCCTTCCGTGCGTACACCAACTTTGTTGACGGGGTGCCGATAGTGATAATAATAACTGGGAACAAATGACGCGCGGCATCTAGCCCCAATTGGTGATTCCCTGCGTTATAGAGACCAGACATACTTATATATGTTTATATAAATAGATAATAAATACCCAGACGAAGAAAAAACAAACCAGTTCATCACACAATGTTTGCCTGATGTGGGAATCGAACCCACGACCAGTACAACGGCCCAACGGTCAGACTACTGCTCCACCGAGTCGGTCAATAGATTTAGTGAACTAATACATAAATCCAAACTTGGCAACATGATTTATGTAACTGGCAATCGCATTTCTTATGAAGTTAAATGGGAAGGCTAGTTTTTTAATTAGTCGTAATAATATTATCCTTATACACGATAAATAAATAAATTTTTTTTAGTGTTAGTGTTAGTATAAGGAAGCAGTTCAACCGCCGGCGGGCGCGGCCGCCCCACAGGCGACCCGCCCGCTGTCGGCGGGACCGCAGACTGTTAGTTATTAGGAAAACTGTTCGTGAAATTGTCCGTCCATGTGAAACGTGCCTTTGTATTATTATTCATTTATTATTATTATATTTATTCATTTTTTGTAAACAAAGAATTAAAAACATTTTGAATCTACAAGCATTGTGTTTCTTTGTTGTACAGTAGATTCGAGGGAATCGGGATGCTTTCCAATTCCAACACAAATTTTCAGCGGTTTTTCTTAGGGTAATACCAATAAAATTGAGATTAAAACGCTTCCAGAGGTATAAATTTTCATAAAATATACGATGCATTACTATACATAGTTATTGTATTATATTACATACATAGTACGCAAAACCAATTTCAGTATTATCTAAATTAATTCTGACATAAACAAGATTCTCGTCCGTGGAAATTACAAGGCTTGAGGCAAACAGTGCCGCGGACCCGGTGCGCTTCCAACGAGTCCAGGGGCCACAGCCGACCGGGATGCGACACCAAATCCACCACGTAGTTACTACGCAGCAGACCTGCAGGGTAGCTCACTTCGGTCTCCTCATTGTCCTTTTGAAATAAGTCCCAAGATATCGAGAAATGAAAAGCTATTTTATTTAAGCGACTTTTTTTGTCCTACCTATTCTAGTAACCTCGAGGGGTTATTCTAGATTCACCGAACTAGTAGGAGAACTCTTGGGACTCAAACCTGACGTTGTTGCTAACACGAACCCTAGCAAGAGCCGTGCCTCGCAGAATCTACCACCGGATCGGAAACGCGACCCACTGAGAAGACACGGCGAGAAACTCAGTGGACTGTGTCTGTGGGCTACTTCGCTCGTCGACGGTGATCGGTGCTTGAGAGATATAAAAGTACCGAGAGTGAATCCTGGGGATCCGACAAGACATGTTTTGGGGCGACGGCGGCTTTGTATTGCCCTGTCGTGATCAGGTAAGTCCTGGTCTCCTCAAAAATGACTTCCACACAAAGCACTAAATCAATATTCGACACTAATTTCACCTGTCTACTTAGTTCGAGCTTCTTAACGTTCTCGATAGCGTAAAAGTTAACTAAAATTTGAATGCAGTTGGAACAGCGCCCCTAGCGACAAACGTACGCAAACCTTCCAACTTCGTCCAAATTCGACCTAACTTTTACGCTATCGAAAACGTTAAAAACTCGCACTAAGCACACTGAAAGGTTCCGTGAAACAACTAAAGACTTACGGAATCCATTTCGGGTAAGGCGACTTCACACCACGCGTGCGACGCGACGCGCTTCAGAGCGCACGGCAGCCCCACGCGATCCGACAACACCTTGTACAGCATCGCGCGCTCCAGCGGGCCCCCCACACGCACCCACCCCACACCCACCACGGGACTCTTCAGTTCTGTCTGCAATATCGATTACATCCTGAGCGAGCACCTTGAGAAAGATTAACTCGCGCTTTTATTGAGCTTTTTTATCTTGTCACATACAATAAAATAATACAAATTATGTTAAAACTATATAACAGAACTAAAAGAACAATCAAAAATATAACAAAATATATTCGGCTAAGAATAGAAAACGAGAACAAACATTCCTAATTATAACAACAAATAAGTGCTTAAGCCAAAAATGCTTTTCTTATGTATAACAACAAATAATATGTAATAATACCTAAGCAAAAAATGTTTATCCTCCGACAAATACATAAATTAAGCAGTGACAAATATCGTTTCTTTACATACTCCGCCGCTTCGGATCAATATTGCACTAAGGAACAATACCATGAGATCGGCGAGGTGTAGCTCAACGCTCGGCATGGAGCAGTCCCGCTCCTGGGTGAGGCCGCTCATCTGCTGGACCACAAACTCCGCGAGCAGCTGAGCGCGCTGCTTCAGCGACGAACTCACTTCTGCGCATTTATCCCGATATCTGGACACATGGTTATCTTAGTAGTGTTTACTGGTAATCGAGCTGTGAGTAGGTTTGTATCACTGATTTGTGGGTTTCTACCGGGATGCAGGATGATTTGGAGGACATAGTCATTTTTCCAAGCAATAGGCATATAATTGTTTCGAAAAAATCGGTATATATCCTGAGAGGGAGAAGTTTTTTTTTTTTATTGCCCTTGTAGGCAGACGAGCACACGGCCACCTGATGGTGAGTGGTTACCGTCGCCCATGGACGTCAGCAATGTCAGGGGCAGAGCCAAGCGTTTGAAGAAGCAGGACATGTCATAGCGCTGGGGAAACATTGTGGAGTGGAGCTCATACCAAAGCCGGATGGTACGTGGCAAAAAAGAGCTCTGGAAACGCACTGTGGCTGAACGCAGTGGCTCCAGGTAGTATGGATGAACTCTACTCCGGTGGCGGGCGGTGAGGGGGTAAAAACGAGATGATGAGATAATTTCAAACAATTACTCAGAGCAACAAACAAAAAGAACCGAAGTCCCTCCGCAGACCCAGAGGTTCCAAATGATCCGCGAGAATGGGTTTATTATCGACAATCCGAACGGCCCTCTTCTTGAAAGAGAGATCAACTTTTGGTTCTAAGGTTCACTACATCTAATAATAATTTACCTCACTTCATAATGAGCATCTTCTATTTCGATATAGTGAAGTGATTTTGCTCTGAAAAAGAAAACAAACAAATTTTTTTTCAAGCTTAGATGAACTCCCGCCGCCGCGAAAACTAAAGAATTTGAAACACTGAATACATAAAGAGATCATATTTACATGATATATTTTAATCAAGCTATATTTCTAATGAATTAGCTTCAGTTGCTAATCAGATTCAATAAATCCTTAGAAATAATGAACGTTATAGAGACTGAAGTTACGTTTATCTGGGCGTGTCATGAGCTCGCACAACTTGGATCCCACCTTCCTACCACAAAGCTATCGTAAATTCCAACTACACGAGTAGAATGGTCGCTGTTCTGAATATAGTGGCTTCGACATTTCAAGCATCTATTGGTCACCAAGCACGAGCCTGTTTGTCCAATAACGTCAAAAATCCATCAAAATAAAAATAAAAAGTGCATGATCATCTTAATTTCGTTAAGTAACTCACGGATCCCCAAACCACAGCCGTAGTTTCAGCAAATACGACCTCAAATTGACGTCATCAGGTAGGAAGGATGCAAACAAACCGCTTGATGGTGAAACAGCGAGCTTGGAACTCGACCGCTGATCTGTTCGGAGATTTAAAATAAAATAAAAGTTTCATCTTTAGTCAATGCTATTTGCAAAAATATAAATAGCTAGCCGTACTCGCCCACTTCGCTGGGCATTTAAAATTAACATTATTATTTATTGTCATTATTATTAGGGAATCCAACACTCATATAAATATTAGCCTATCCATTAAGTACGTGTATTTTTTTCTACATGGATACCAAGTTTCAAGTGAATCGGATGCATGGTTCAGTAGTTATAACGGAACATCCGTAAAAACCACTGTAGATTTATATATTAGTATAGATATACCTACATAAGATTTTGATATGAAAACTTTATTAATTATACATAATAATATACTTACACTATCAAGAACACATTTGATGCTGTTTTTTGCTGCTTCAGTATCCATAGAATAAGTCCTGCCACCAGTAGTGGGATTAACAGTGGGTCGGACCATACCCAACCATATGAGATTCCACTTCGATGAAAACAAGTGTACAACTAACAAGGCATCCGTATGTCCATTGAGGAATTTCCGTCCGACTGAGGGTGGAGGAACATGGCGATGAGCACAGGATCCCGAGGCGGAGGCTTCTGCAGCAACACCTCTTGGATGGTCGGGAATCGTTTGGTGAGTCGTTTGAGGACGTAGAAACCTTCCTAGAAAGTATTATCAGTGTGTTTAGTGCGAATTTTTTAACGGTCTCGATAGCGTAAAAGTTAATCCAACTTTGTATGCATCTGGAACAGCGCCTCTAGCGACAAACGTAGGTAAACGCTCCAACTCCATACAAAGTTGAGTTAACTTTTACGCTATCGAGAACGTTAAAAAACTCGCACTAAGCACACTGGTAACTGTCCTATAGTGACTCAGCGGTCTCGCGCACACTCTTCGTATCGCGCACAATAAATTCCGTCTGTAGTTGGTAACTCTTAAGAAATACGGTGCTCTGCGGACTTTTTGGCGGCAACGTGAGGAGTGAAGCTGTGTGATTTGTTTTATTTTGTCAATTTAGCGTTTCTTCAGGTTTAAATATGTAATAACGGCGGTTTATTAACTGTTTAATATCCGTGAAAGGGCACAAATGTGGGAAAATGAAACAAAGCCGCTAAACGTAACTTCTCGGGATCCTCCAAAAGTCCACTGAAAAAATCTCCGTGAATGACCACCATTTTACTGAGATTATATTTCATCACATTTCATATCATCTCATTTCATTTAATTTCATCCCAGTCGATTAATGTCTCAAATTAATCATCTTCATTTCATTTCATTTTACTATATATAGCGACCCGCCCTCGCTTCGCTTCGGAAACATTAAAACACACATGAAACCAAAAAAAAAAAAAAAAATTTAAAAAAGTAGCCTATGTTCATCAGGGACAATGTCGGCTTCTAATGGAAAAAGAATTTTTCAAATCGGTCCAGTAGTTTCGGAGCCTATTCGAAACAAACAAACAAACAAATCTTTCCTCTTTATAATATTAGTATAGATTAGTATAGATTATCATTTTTCAAAAAAATAAGAATATAAATTAAAATAAGACTTGACCTAAGGGTCTTAGTTACCAGGTCATAAAATCCCTTAACACAAATAAAACGGTGCTCTGCATCTTCTTTTTGACGTCTGCAATACCTGAGTAAAATCGTTGATATCTAGGGTGCCGGTGTAGGCGAACTTCGCTGAAGGATGGTGTCGGAATATAGCTTCGATGGCGGGCTCCCACGCGCCCACCACATACCGAGCCGCTTTGTTTTCAATCATGCTGTTAAAAGTTAGTTAATCAAAGAAACACCAAACGAACTGCCTTTTTGTTAAAATTCTTAAGTTGTTTTGTATATTTATTTGCATTAAATTCAAACAAAAATAAGTCGTAAGCAAAAGTAGTTGAATTACAGAGGCTCCCATTTTCAGAGTAGGTACGGGTTTCAATGTTAACGAAAAATAGTGAAAAAACAAACTTTTAAAACTTGAAAGGATTCATCATATTTCGATGTTCCTATCCGAAATATTATACGTTACTTTTCACATCGGATGTACCATACTGTGTAATAGTCTTAAATACATTATCCCCCTGATTAACAATACATGAGCTAGGATTAGGTCCAAAATATACCCAATAAACATTTCTTGTACAGTTTCAACTAAAAATCTCAAGGAATCGACTATTGGAAATGTCGAAATCCACAACTAGACGAGAGTCCAATTTATTAAAAAATCATGATGAGACTACGTCATAAAAGTGCACTTGTGATGTAGACTAGGTAAAGTACTTGTAACATCAATTACTAGTGCAAAGTTCCTAGTTGTAAATATATTTCGGCTCCTTCGTCAGTGACGCTGGACGTGATCAGAATGCAGAGCGCTGTTCGGAAGCCCACGTGTTCAATACGAAGGTTATTTGACACGACCTATTAAAAAATATGTATTAGATTAATGTATAATGGTATTTTACATATTTAAAAATAAAATATTTTAATAACTTATTCGTAATGATTGATAACAAGGGCATGAATGATCATCTGTAGCGTTTTTAAGAGAAGACATCACAAGTATTGGGTGCTTGGGTTTCTTGAATAAAACTTCCAAATCGATATTGAGGTTGCGTTTCCTATATACAGGTATTTTCTCAAAAAAATTTTATGTTGCGAACAAGTTAGCTTGGCACGGCGTTTAGTTAGTGTAATGGTGTAGGTGCAGGAGGTTCAAATAAAAATTTCAACATTGCTCCTCAAAATTTCGTAGGCGTTAACAACAAGCTACAGCTGCCCTTCCTTCGTCACCAGGTTACTTTTAGCAAAGTGTCCAAAAATTCTCAATCAATTCATATTTACTTTCTACATATCTGTGAATGGTAATTAACACTTTCATCGAAGCTTTCACATATTCCCCATTAACGAAACCGAACGTACTATTTTGGGCTGATTTCCATGTCGAATTCAGTACATTAGGTTTGAGTAATTGAGATCAGTCGTTTTGGTCGTTAGGAGTCTAATTGTTTATTTTTCCTCATTGTTAATTCAATCGAATGATTAGTTTCTCAATTAAAAACGTGTTAAGATCACCTTCACATTTGCTGACGTAAAATAAATCTTAGATAGTAGTAGATATGAGACATGATTTGCTATGACGGTGCGCGGTATGCGTAAGCCTCCACAAGATAGATGTCCACCTGATCGAGGATACAGGAATCCGCCGGGAACGTGCAAGACAGATCATTGTGGTGAAACTTTGCCTATCACCCTAACTGGACGTCTATAGGGCTCGTGATGATGTTTGTACTCTTATAAGTTCCTAAAGCATTCATTCGATTGTGATAGAATTTCGGACATTATTTTTTTATGTCGTTGCTGTTGGTGACTTTTGGTACCCCAGGAAACGTGCCTGTTATATTAACTTTAACTAACAATAGCTAGGAGCGAGTATTTTCAAGAAATCGATGTTTATCGGACCATTGACGATTTCTCACAGTAGATAATGACCGAGTTTCACTAGTTAGATACGAAAATTTTGCCCAATTTTTATTACAACATACCTCTTCACCTTTCTTCAGCGTGAACAAGTCTTTGGCAAGATCTTCTGACATGAGACCCGTAAGTGCTGTACACGTCAATATTTTCAATCTGATGTCGATGCGCTGTAACCGTCATTGATATTAAACCAAGAAACAATAGATAGGCATTGCCTGGGACGGCCTGACGAGAAGGGCCACGTAGAATCGTCGACAATCGCTTTGACAACAAGTCGGTCAGGTGTTCTAGGCGTAGCGCCGCATATCTGGTTGTAGTGCTATACCGCGGAAATCCCCCTACTCTGCCCGGCTCCTGACCCCGGGTAGAGATCAGACGTAACAATAACAGAGTTAACAGAGTGCAAGGGGAGTCATTTAGTGGGTAGAGTCCTAATAACATCATTGGGACCGCGGTCTGGTTCTAAAATCTGCAGACCGTCAGGTCCCACATATCCGAGCGCTCCCTGGACGCGGACACTTCGTATTATGTTTGGCCCCCTCTCTAAACAAGAATAAAATAGGGGTGGTATACCAATGAGTTACGGCATCTTACCTCTCACTATCAGTTGGTGAGCAGCCCGCACTCTTCCTGCCTATACCCCACCAACTGGCCCGCTTACATTAGGCAGGTATCTCATTTAGGAGAACGTTGAAACACACACAACTTTTTTTTTATTGCTTAGATGAGTGGACCAGCTCACAGCCCACAGCCCACATGGTGTTAAGTGGTTATTGGAGTCCATAGACATCTACAACGTAAATACGCCACCCACCTTGAGATTTAAGTTCTAAGGTCTCAGTATAGTCACAACGGCTGCCGCACCCTTTAAACCGAAACGCATTACGGCTTCACGGCAGAAGTATGCAGGGTGCTGGTACCTACCCGCGCGGAATCACAAGAGGTCCTACCACCAGTAATAACGCAAATTATAATTTTGCGGGTTTGATCTTTATTCACGTGAACTAAAGTGATACCTCCAATATATTCACAAGTTCTTGTACGAAGTCCGGGCTAAGCATGGCTCTTGTGCTAACGTGATAATTCTGGAGATTTATGTAGCACTGTACCGCCAAACGCTGAGCTTCTATTGGGTTATCCTTGACTGGAAATGTTGAATTTGGAAAGAATTTTATAACTTAAGGTAGGAGAGTGTCCCTAAACATGCATCATGGCCCTTGACAATGAAAAAAAACCTGACATAAAACATTGATAGAAAATACAGAGATTTTTGTCATATTATTTGCCTCAGCATATATAATTTTTCTAGTTCGAAGATATGTTTCTTCGAATTAGAATCAGACTTTAAATAGATATGTCGCGGACCCGCAGAGGCTAATGACACCGTTCCGCCTGATTTCAGCCATGAGACTAGTATGTGTGCTAATTTGAAGGGTAGAATGAGTGTTCTACTAATGTAAAATATTTCTATTGAGGAAACTGCATCTTTAACCCTGTATATCTACGCCAAAATGAATGAAACTTCTTTCTCCATCCTAACATTGATTGTGTAATCTGCATGTGCCTAGTTGACCGCTAAGAACCACTCCAGTTCCGCCCAGTTTTACGATAGCTTCCACTATTTACTTCGGAAAAACTATAATCCAAGTCGTTTTGCCCTAATCTCAGCGGCTCAACAAAACCAATCGTGGCCCACAATTATAGCTTGAAATGTTCGTGAAATTTTAGGTGGATTATTAGAGATGAAGAAAAATAAATTATCGCTCTAACATTTGACATTGATGTTTCTTAGTGCAGCGAACGTGTTCGGTTCGACCAAACTCGAAGCGGCCCGGGGTATGATACGACACAACTCGGACAGCGCGCGCAACGCATTCATACGCACGTAGAACCACGCCGCAGAGTCGTCGCTCAATATTGCTGGTGGAATATTAAGTCATTGTACGTTTTTTTTTTATTGCTTGGATGGGTGGACGAACTCACAGCTCACCTGGTGTTCAGTGGTTACTGGAGCCCATGGACATCTACAACGTAAATGCCGCCACCCACCTTGAGATATGAGTTCTAAGATCTCAGTATAGTTACAACGGCTGCCCCACCCTTCAAACCGAAACGCATTACTGCTTCACGGCAGAAATAGACAGGGTGGTGGTACCTACCCGTGCGGACTCACAAGAGGTCCTACCACCAGTAATTACGCAAATCATAATTTTGCGGGTTTCACTTTTATTACACGATGTTATTCCTTCACCGTGGAAGTCAATCGTGAACATTTGTTGAGTACGTAATTCAAAAAAATTGGTACCCGCCTCGGATTCGAACACCGGTGCATCGCTCAACACTCATGCACCGGACGTCTTATACCTTAGGCCACGACGACTTCAAACGTATAAATGTTTCTATGTCAATATTCTCACTTACGGTTACTGTCGCTCGCGGACACTGGTAATGCCGGTGACAGAGAAATAACGCTATCTACCGCTAAGAACGCTAGAAGAAGGGCACGCGGTAGGACCTTGAACTGGTGGTAGGACCTCTTGTGAGTCCGCGCGGGTAGGTACCACCACCCTGCCTATTTCTGCCGTGAAACAGTAATGTGTTTCGGTTTGAAGGTTGGAGCAGCCGTTGTAACTATACTTGAGACCTTAGACCTTATATCTCAAGGTGGGTGGCGCATTTACGTTGTAGATGTCTATGGGCTCCAGTAACCACTGAAAACCAGATGGACTGTGAGCTTGTCCACCCATCTAAGCAATAAAAATAATAATAAAAAAACCTTATTCGATCATTGTGCCTACATCAGTGTTCTAAATAGTCATATGATCATTTAGTATCGCGAAGTTAAGCTCTATCATCATTATCCTGCCCTTCTCCCAGTCACCTGGGGTCGGCGCAACATGTTTTCTCTTTCCATACTCTTCTATCATATACCATTTCTTCGCTCACTCCCCTCCTACCCATATCGTCTTTCACACAATCCATCCATTTCTTCTTAGGTCTACCTCTTCCTCTATATCCTTCCACATTCATTGTTGACACTCTCTTAACAACCTCATTTTCATTTCGTCTCATCACATGTCCATACCATCCCAAACGTGCACTCCTCAGCTTCTCTGTCACAGGTGCCACTTTCAGACTTCCTCTAACATATTCATTCCGTATTCTATCCATTCTCGTTACTCCACACATCCATCGCAACATTCGCATCTCTGCTGCATGCAATCGCCTTTCATCCGTCACTTTNACTCTCTTAACAACCTCATTTTCATTTCGTCTCATCACATGTCCATACCATCCCAAACGTGCACTCCTCAGCTTCTCTGTCACAGGTGCCACTTTCAGACTTCCTCTAACATATTCATTCCGTATTCTATCCATTCTCGTTACTCCACACATCCATCGCAACATTCGCATCTCTGCTGCATGCAATCGCCTTTCATCCGTCACTTTCGAAGTTAAGCTCTATCGTTATCTTATAATTATAATTAGGCAAGGTACAGTATTTTTGTCGACATATAACTACATATAATTTATATTAATGTGATTGCTCGCGTGCAAATAAAAACTAACCACAAAGTGCCTCGATAATGTTGGTCTCACACATGCGAACGGCAGACGGAAGGAGTTTGGTCATATTCGCTACGCCCATTGCTGCATCCGCTAACAAATCAACGTTGGAGCTGAGGAGTTGGTGACAGAATACCATATCAGTCCCGGTCTGGTACAATGCCTGAAAAATAATATTATTATGAAATAAGCATATTGATCATAATGTAATCGTGTTTTTCTATTTACGGAAAGGCCACACGTCCAAGATCTCCCTACGGATAGTCCTTGAGTTATTGTACTTACAATCTCACACATAATGTCCATATCAGTATTGTTACGCCGGTAAGAGCAACGCCATCTATCGTCGAATAGCAGAAACGAACGTCAAAAGAACCAGGAAATTCAAGAACGTTCGGGAAGTACAACGCCATCTATTGTCAAATAGCGGAAACTCATATTGAAAATACTCGACTTGTCAGAAATGTTCTCGATAATTCCAGGGATTTCGTATTGACTATAAAAGCGTTGCAGAGATGACACGGATTTAGTTAGTAATCGGTTCTACTCGAGGCGAAACACCGAAAGCAGTGAATTACGAAGTGTAAAGTGTTGTGTGAGTGTTCTAAGTGCTAAATAGAGTTTTAATTTGTACTTTGGTGGAACTTTAATTTATCCCGAACCCCAGCGCGTAACAGTATGTTCGTATACTTGTGTATCAAATAACATAATCTAACATCTCTCCCATTTGAAGTAAAAGACATCTTGGTGAGAACGGCCAGGCAGTGTGGCTTCATGGCTGGCAAGGCCATCTCCAAGTAGGCTAACAGTCTGAGGATACAGCCAGATTGGTACAGATGAGAAGCATTCTCCTCAGTCTCCACGTAGTCCCGAAGTACTCCAAGAACTTGCGCGTGAACATCCCGAAATTCATAGGACTGGAAGAGAAGACGTTTGTTAATTTTCTTAGCGAAATTTCTAGAAGTTTGAAGAAGCTATCTACGTTCGGCTCTTAAAAAAAAAGTATTCGAAACGTAAGCCGTGAAGCAGTAATGCGTTTCGATTTGAAGGGTGGGGCAGCCGTTGTAACTATACTTGAGACCTTAGAACATTTATCTCAAGGTGGATGGCGCATTTACGTCGTATATGTTTACGGGTCTCCAGTAACCACTTAACACCAGGTGGGCTGTGAGCTCGTCTACCCATCTAAGCAATAAAAAAAACGTAAATAATTAATTACCTCCAATATGTCACAAAGATCCAATACTCCAGTCGAAGCCCTGAAAGTCTTCTGCACAACCAGATCTTTGTATCTGCATATCAACTGATCCACAGTTCGGAGAGCCGCGTGCTGGATAGCCAGGTACTTGCTCTGCATCAACGCCAGCAGCGACGGCCAACTGAACTGTTGGTTCTTCGTGACTTCGGATGCGCAAACAGGGTCGTCCAGCAGGTTGCTGAGCGTCTGTGGAAGTTTTCAAATACACTCTGAATTCACTGTATTTTCTTATAATGATTTCCCGCAACAATAGTAGGTCTAAGACAACCTTTCCCAAAGTTGGCGATAACGCCCCCTTGTGGCCGCTGCAGGCTTAATGGCGGGCGGTAATAGATCCAGAAAAAAATTGGGGCTTGGAAGGCGATTTGTAATTTCATCTAGGAGGACTCTTAGGCACCAACTGAGCTCTCACTATAGTGGTTTTTAAGTAGGTAGAAAAAATGGGGGCGCTAAAAAATAATTTATTCTCTAAGTGGGCAGTACAGAAAATAAGTTCGGGAACCACTGGTCTAAGAGATAAAGATGTTTACATTTAACTTTAACATGTTTATGATAATTCGCTCTCTTATTGGACAAGTCTTGCGAGTTTTTTTAAAGTTCTCGATAGCGTAAAAGTTAACTCAGCTTTGTATGGAGTCGAAAAGTTTTCTTACATTTGCCGTTAGAGGCGCTGTTCCAACTGCATACTTTGAGATAATAAATATATATTTTTAAACTTTATTTACATACTTATTATACCAAAGCCGCTTATCTGTTATTACTTCTTGAAGCTTGATGATAGTCACTATAATACATTTAGATTCCGAAACCGATGATGGCTTACCTGAAGACAATTCTTCTGGACATCAGGGTCTAAGCTATTCTTCATCCTCGAGAACAATGTACTCAAGATATTGGCTGAGACCAGTTGCTCGCAGCCGAGTGGTTCTCTCGTCAATTCGGATAGAACTAGCGACGCAAATTCCAATACGAATACATCTTCCACCTAAAATTACTTTTTTCATTTAATTAATTAAAATCAATTTATATTTATGTATAAACTAGATAGTAACTATTAATTATTATTTTAATATATCGATAATAGACTAATAAAATATCGATTCCATTATTTGATTAGTAACTTAATTCTAAGGGTCTGTGACCAAACAACAAAAAACAGTAAGCTTTTTAATACGCTTTTATTATTCCGTCCGGTCTGACTGCTATCAGTGCGCGTAATGAAATTACAAAGTACCATTCTTTGAACTGCTTGCATGATTACAAGCTACACTGACTGTCTCATAGAAATAAATCAAACGCAAGCTAATATGACTTTTTTTTCTACCTAAGCTGATAGCCTTGAGAGGCTATATCAGCGTCGCCTTAACTAGTAGGTGAGCTCACGGGGCTCAAACCTGACGACGTTGCTAACACGAACCCTAGCAAGAGCCGTGCTTCGCAGAATCTACCACCGGATCGGAAACGCGACCCACTAAGAAGATCCGGCGAGAAACTCAGTGAGCTGTGTCTGAGAGTAATCGATAATATGACTTCCAATTCTATAGTCACAGCATTTGACCATATTTTTTCTTTATTTGCTGCTGTCATCGAGATACAAGCATGCCGCACAACGCATAGAATGTTCTCCGCTAACGGACACCGCCAATGATACGTTGAATCTTATAGGAAAAATTTGAATGACACTGTTGAAATCGATACCCTACATGTAACCAACTGAAAAAGAATAGTATCAACGGTTGGTTGGCTCCCAGCAATAACTTTGACTTCAAATATATTACCAAACTAGCTGACCCGGCAGACTTCGTAGTGCCTCAATCAATATATAAAAGACCTAAACTTTTGTGTAAAATAAATTAAAAAAAAACAAAAGGAATCCGTCCGACGGGGGACACATCAAAGGGAAAACAAAATTATTATTTTTATTTAATTCCGAGCATTTTCATATTTATCTACCTTTTAAACCTTCTCTGGACTTCCACAAATAATTCAAGACCAAAATTAGCCAAATCGGTCTAGCCGTTCTCGAGTTTTAGCGAGACTAACGAACAGCAATTCATTTTTATATATAAATATATAGATAGAAGAAGATAGAAGATAAGATAAGATTACTTTTAACTTTTACCTTAACTAACATAAATGCTATCTTTCTTAGATTGGCTGAGTCAGCCAGGACCTGCTCAGGTACTTGCGGTAGCTGGCAAAGTTGAGCTAAAGCCTTTAGAGCAAACCTTCGGATGTTTAATTCGGAATGCTCTATATGCAGAACTATGTAACGGATCGCGTCTAAGTCGAAGAGGATGTAACGATTCTGCGTGTCTTGGGCAGAGAACTTTGTTATTGCTCGTAATGTCTGAAAGTAATTTAGAAGAGAATTAATTGTCTTCAATTTAAGTCGGAATGCTCCAGGCAAGGCTCCATAAAATACTTCACCGTTACTGGAATAAAAAAGATGTACATTTTTATATTTTTCAGATTTGAAGTCGATCCTTATTTAGACATTAGCGGTAGCACTGTATAGACAAGCAACATAAAACACTATCTGGTGGATCTCATGCTTGCCTGCGTCCGAAGGCAGGTGGCTTCTTTCTTAAAATTAGGTTTGCCAGGAGTACTAGTGTTAGGCAGCAGGTTATTTCTGCCCCTGGCATTATGAACGTCCAGGACGACATTGCGACGGTGACACTCAACATCAGGTGAGCCATATGCTTGTCCATTTACAAGAGCAATAAAAAGGGAAACAAAAAATTGTGCGTTAAGCTGTTTTAAAAACATATAGGTAGGATCTCTTATGAGTCCGCACGGGTAAGTACGACCACCCTACCCATTTCTGCCGTGAAGCAGTAATGCGTTTCGATTGGAAGGGTTAAGCAGCCGTTGTAACTATACTGCGACCTTAGAACTCATATCTCAAGGTCGGTGGCGGCATTTAAGTTATTGATGTCTATGGGCTCCGGTAACACCCGGTGGGCTGTGAGCTCGTCCACCCATCTACGCAATAAAAAAAATAAAAAAACTATGTACTTCACCTGACACAGTATCTCAGGTTCGGTAGACTCCAGCAGCAGTATCGAGGTGTGAGCACTCTCAGGAGTTATGGTGTAAGGATGGAAGGTCAGATCCTTCTTTTCCGCTGACCTGTTCTCTCTTTCCTTTTGCAACGGTTTTGCCATTTTTAGTTTTCACAAGTAATGTTAATGTATTTTAGTACAATATGTGCATTACACAAGTGAAGTTTGATGTGGGTTGAATACTTATTTTGATTTTTGACGTATTAAATTACTAAAAATATTTAAAACGCCCGACAGTACTCCGTATGTCATAAACACAGGTCATAAACCAATAAAGTTTCAATAACAAAAACTGGTGTAGGGTTGTCGGTACTGCTTTTTAGGACGGGAATTTGAATCGCTGCGTTACTTACGAGTCCGCGTTTTAAGAATACATGGAAATTGAATTCACATGAGCAATCAAGCCTTCAACACAGGGCTCGATAGTGAAAAATAACTCAGTCGCCCTACAGAACGTCGAACATCGGTTCTTTCAATTGTGGACTATACAGACCTAGACGATGCCACAAGCAATCATTGGATACAGAAGCAGCAAAATCATGTCTTCCGTCACTTCACTGAACCGGACTCAGAAAAAATCTGTAAAATCCTTTGAGGACCTGTAATTTATAACCGGTAATTGGTTAAAAAAACCACAAAAATAGTGTTACTGTCGTGCCCAGGACCGGAATATAACTAGGATTCGTCGTTTACGTGATCCGAAAAGTATGAATATGCTACCTTTTTGCCAATTGCCCATTATTGTATACCGCCAATTTTTACACTGGCAGGCTTCGAAGACTAGCAAAGAGGTCATCTAAACATTAATTCAAAAGTAATAACTAGATTACAAACGGTGTCTTTAAAATGACGTTAGAATGTCAAGCTTATGATAATTTATAGGAATTTACACTTATGTATAGGAGAAATATATTGGTGCGTTTTGTAGCTAATCTGGCCAAAAAGTTCAGGGCTTGGCAGGAGGTGTGGATATTGCCGTGGTGGGGTAGTGGGGGGCTCGCTTCCGCACCTTTGTGGGCGCTGGACACTCTTGTTTTATTGGTTAAGCTGTTTTCGAGTTGTACTGTGGCCGCTTTCAGAATGCTAGTACCGCCGGCTTTGAGTAACTTACACGGAGAGACTGTACTCGTTAGTTGATTGATTTGATTGTTATTGCAATAATTATTAATGCCTTATAGTTTTTATTTCATTTTAACAATAAGTGTAACGGAGGATTTTTGAAGTACGAATACATCTGTGCATTTATTTCATTTTAGTAACTCATTTAGCAAAGCATTTTAGTGTCCCGGTACTTCTTTTTTAGGTACTAAATTATCTAAAATAATTAACCAATTCTTCTGTAGTTTTGACTGCTGAAAAGTCAAATTATTAAATACAAACTTGAAATTGAAGTTTCCTATCATACAGAAATAACTAACAAAAATTCACTTAGTAGATGGTAGAAGGAACTATCTATAACTCTATAAATGTTTGTAGATAGTGTTTTATCGATATTAATAAGTAGTTAGCCAGCGTAAAACGTGTTTTTTCGGAAGTGCGTAGCATTATTCATTTAGCACCAAAATACTATTTATCAAAATAAAATGAACAAGGACTTATCATGTAGACAGATTCTTTTTTTTTTGCCTTTGTAGGCAGATGGACATACGGCTCATGGTGAGTGATTACTGTCGCCCATGGACTTTAGCAATGTCAAAGGTAGAGCCAAGCCGCCGCCTACCATAAATATTATTATACTTAGATTACAGGAGCCGGCCACGGCATCGGTCGAGAGCTCGCAATACAATTGGCTGAGCTCGGAGCGACTGTTATCTGCTGGGATAAAGACCAGAGACGCAACAACGCTGTTGTGAATGAGATAAGAAAGAAGGATGGAGAAGTTAGTGATTGTAATAGTAGTAGTGGTGATGGTAGTGAAGATGTCATTGCTGTAATGTATTCAAAAGTTGCTATTGTAGCGCGAAGATATGGAAGAGAGATTTTTATTCAAAATTCGACAAGTTTACAAAGTTAGTCTTTGTAAGAGACTGCCAATTTTATTGAACATATCATCTACTTCGTACCATAGATTAGCACAAATATCTTTCCATACTTAAATCTATATATATAAAAGAAAGTCGTGTTAGTTACACTATTTATAACTCAAGAACGACTGAACTGATTTAGCTGAAAATTGGTGAGGAGGTAGCTTAGATCTAGGAGAAGGACATAGGATACTTTTTATCACATTCCCGTGGGACTTGACATAAAACGTGGTAACTATTACAAAACGCAACTGACAGCTAAACGTAATAATATATTCTATGGTTAGTTGTGTTAATTATAGTAGAATTTTGAAGTTGACTGGTTGATGTGTTTGAAACAAACCGTGTGGCGGAACAAAGTTCGCCGGGTCCGCTAGTAACTAATGAAATAAAGCTTTACTAATTTGCCAAAATATTTACAACCGGCGACGCTCATGATTAGGTTTTTTTACATAAGCCTGTTCAATGAGCTAATAGCTCACCAGGTTACCGTAACCCATAGACATCCGAAGGTAGCCACTTGAACAAACCGGAACGCGGTAGAAATAGGCAGTCGGGACAATCTATTTTATTCTATCTAGTAATATATACATAGTACTATGTAGTATATATTATTATCTTCAGGGTCTTCTGACTTCTTTTTAATTTCCTGCCGCGAAAGATACTCGGGACAAGCAATTACGTAGCTATGAGGGAACATGTAAGTACTCCGTTGGTAGAAACATCTCTTTTATTACAGTGCTACGGATTCACAATAGACGTAACGGCTCAAGATCAAGTTGCTTCCCTGGCGTCACGTATGAGGCGACAACTGAGCGACGTCACTATGGTGATAAGTAATGCAGGGCTCCTGACTTGTGCTCCGATCACACACTTAAGACCTGAAGGCGTGATGAAGATCATCGAAGTCAATTTGCTGGCTCATTTCTGGGTTAGATTGGCTATTACTTATTCAGCTATTGTGTGTTATTACTATCTATATACTTTTATTACTAGCTGGCATGCTAATGATCCACGATGCAATGGATATAAAAGTATCAATGTTTGATAAACTTCAATAATTCCTGCACTTCAAACCGGAACGAATAATTGTTTTATGACTATTAAACAGACAGGGTTTCAGGCAAAAGTTTTTTTATAATTGAGAGATTACTGGTGCCCTGAAGGCCTTTCCAATTTTACCAGGGCAGGTGGGCGAGCAAAGGCTCAGCCAGGAGGGATAGGATTTGCTAACAGCAACCCGAGCGCCTCCAACGGAGACCTAACAACTCAAGAGTAGCTGCTTCGCGAATGAATCTACTACCGGCTCGGAATCGCGACCCGCTGAGAAGATCCGGCGAGAAACTCAGCGGGCTGATGTTTAGGTTAGGTCGCACGTCGAACTCTTTGCCGAGTTCGACGAGTACGGTTACCGGAGCCCCTACTAGTGTTAGAGCAAGGGTTGGCAAAAGCTATTTAAGCTCCTCGGGTCTTATAATCGGTCATACCTAAATTATAGTTTAGTATGATTAGCGATTATAATTTATGATTTCTTCGAAAATTCGGAAACGATATTTTTCTTAATAAGCAAATCTATACATACATATAAATAAAATTGGAATATCTGTTTGTAGTATTGAAATAACCGCTTTTTACTACATGCATTTACGTACATTTTTGTCTGTCTGTCTGTCTGTTTGTTCCGGCTAATCTCTGAAGCGGCGGGACCGATTTTGACGAGACTTTCACTGATAGGTAGCTGATGATATAAGAAGTAACTTGGGCTACTTTTTTAGACTAAGCTTCGCCCCGCGGCGTCACCCGCAGTTATTGTCGTACCGCGCGCAACATGGCGGGTTTCGCCTATCAATCAATAATAAAATTTAATGTTTCCGAAGCGAAGCGAGGGCGGGTCGCTAGTACTAAATAATTTCTTGCCGAATCCTTAGACTATTAAACAATACACTTTACAATATTTGGCAAGAAACTTCTCTTCCATTTTTTTCCATTTATACATTTGCTATAATATTGTTTTAGGTTATTCAAGCTTTTCTGCCGAGCATGGTCGACAGGCGATACGGACATATCGTAGCCATTAACTCGAGCGCTGGCTTAATGCCGTGCGCTGATATGATACCGTATTGTGCTGCGAAATTCGGTTTAAGAGGTAGGCATAAAACAGTCGAATAAGATATAGCGAACTGAGATTGCATTTAAGGAACCGTTTACTGGTTCAAGGTCTAATGGACTCCATCACCGAAGAACTTCGCCTGGACACTTGGACTAAGAACATAAAAACCACATCGGTGTATTTAGCTACGGTGTCCACTGGACTGTATCCACCACCTTCGCATCGATTCGTCTCTTGGTATTCAGAGATAACGGCGAAAGAAGCTGCCAGTGCTATTATTGAAGGTTAGAATGTTATCGTGGAAAGGTGGAATGTTAGCGTTACCTTTTATTCCGAATAAAATACCATTCCCACGGGTACCTAACTACTACACTGACACTTTTCCTTTACCGTGCAAGCGAGATCGCGGGTAACAGCTCGTTGGATTATAATAAAAAAATCCAGTAAGTGGTAAAATATGAATGCACAAATCAGGGTAGTTTCAGTACCACCTTATTTTTATATATAGGTATTAGCATTCTGCGTTGTGTTTTTTTACTGCAATAGGCATAAATGGTGGTCGTCGCTCATGAAGGTGCTGACCTTGCCAAAATGAATGCCAAAGGCACAGCCTGCCGCGGAGTACTCTTCGAAAGCCTTGTTTGAAGAAGGATATGTTATTGGGTATGGTAGAATGGGCCGTTGTGCAACACGCTTTTATTAGACTATTTTCTCGTCATTGACTCGCACTGTTGTAGTCCTGTGCATTTAGGATCAACTGCAACGACTGCACAAAAAAATTCTCAAGCCTTAGGCTACCCAAGGGCTAATTTGGTTCTACTTAATTTATCTTGAACAAGGAACTTAATTGAAAACAACAAAAGTAAACGATGACGGACATTCGATTCACACATTCGGCCTGTGACTAATATTTTTTTTATTTTTTTATTGCTTATAGGGGTGGACGAGCTCACAGCCCACCTGGTGTTAAGTGGTTACTGGACCCCATAGACATCTACAACGTAAATGCGCCACCCACCTTGAGATGTAAGTTCTAAGATCTCAGTATAGTTACAACGGCTGCCCTACCCTTCAGACCGAAACGCATTACTGCTTCAAGGCAGAAATAGGTAAGGCGGTGGTACCTACCCATGCGGACTAACAAGAGGTCCTACCACCAGTAATTGCCTACTGGTGGTAGGTGGTGGTAGTGTATTACCGTGCAAAAGCCCTAATATCCTTTTATCGTGTCAAGCAAACTAATAAATGTTTTTTTTTATGTTTTCTTGTTAACAGGTATTCGAAAGAATCAGAAGTGCATCAGCGTACCACCCTTAATGAAAACCATGATAGACATACACAACCTCATGCCGTACAGATTAAGGATAGTTTTCGCGGATTTTTTCAATTTTGGACATAGAGGGTGGTTTTGTTTTTGCTAAGTCTTATGACTTGACAATGAAGATCAGGTTTAACTGACGTTACTGAAGGTAGCGGGTAACAGCGGCTTGAGATCAGGAAGGAAGGCGACCGGTCAAGCTAACTAAGTCAATCTTGCAATATTTTTTGCACGATATACAGTGGAACTGTCCAGACGTGCAGACCTGTTCAAGCAATTGAACAGTTCACAACCTACTGATTCGGTGTGTTGAGATTAGTTATGCAAAAATGCCATATTTAATAACAAAGCACTAGGATTCGGTGTAGGTATCTAAACTTTGTAGAAAATTAATAAAAACAGAAAAGTGATGATTAAAAAATATGAAAGGAACACAACCCAGAGAATTATGAATAATATTCTGTGTATTTGTTTGTTCGTGTAGATCCAAGCTCCAATTCCTTCGTTATTTAGAGCAACATTTAGAATTTATTTTTATTAATGATTCATTAAATCGGATGTCGTTGTAACATGCATGGTTTTATCATTCAGAATTCTTTGGAATTTACTGTTATTCTGTTAAATGTTGAAAGCTATATAGCAAATGATATTATTAATACGACAGTAACTAATGTTTGAAACGTTTTCATGCAAACACCACTAAACCGAAAAACACAGGTTATTTTTCATCCCACGCTTGAACACGTGTCTCAGCCAGCGCACTCGTGACCGTGGTATTGTGGTTCCGTCGTTTTTCCATTACCATTCATCACCTACGTCATTTGAAGTGAATTACGAACGCTCAGTCCTGTCAACAATGTATGACATTGGCATTAGCAATGTAATTGTAGCTAATAGATTTTCGGCCATGTACTTATAGCTAGATAACAATAACGTTAAATCTCTTACAAAGCGTCTGATAATCTATTTCTCGATTGCTTCAAATGATTTTGTTACCTACGTCGTTAATGCTTTATAATGTGTTTTTAGCTTTAACTATGTAGATTGTCAGTCAATCAATTTGTAAAGTACGTATAATTTAGATAATGAATTTATTCAATAAACGCTTTATTCAATTAACAAGCCATGATTTTAGATTGTGACTGTCTATAGCCAATTAGTGCTCTGAGGAATTTTTCGAGAGGATTCCTTCTCTTTTACCATCGCACACATTCGGACAGAATTCCTCTATACTGTGTGGGATATGCGTTCGTTTATAGAGTTTTTTTTCTATCGCGTACCACTTGGCTTTGGAATGAACTGCCCTCCACGGTGTTTCCCGGGCGCTTTGACAAGTCTCTCTTCAAACGAGGTTTAAGTCTTCATCAGTACACAGGGGCTTGAGTGTGGCCATGACATTGCTGATCTCCTTGATGAAGATAAATACTTACCAATAGGGCCATTTACTCGTCTGCCTAATGGCAATAACAAAAACGAACGCCCTTAAAGGTAGCAAGTATAAATTGGACCATATCTAGGAGAAAATAGGAATCTAGGCCTCGAATCTAAAGCCATTATACGTTGTAATGTTCCGGTATTATGCTACAATAGGTAGCTGGTTCAGTAATTCATAGGATGTTCACGAAAAACTTTTGCAAAAATGTGGCAGGATCTATCATACAAGATATTTGACAGATGCCTGAATCTTGCAACAGATAATTTGAAGATAAGCTTGAACATATACAAGTTCTGAACAACATTTGGACCGTCGGTCTACCGAGCAATATCTTCCCTTCGTCGCAATCCCCAAAAAAGGCATAACATTTAGTAAAATGAAACCTATAGATAAAGAATAGAAGTTAAGAGTTTGTGTTATCAATGGCGGCCGTAGTGCGGAGTCCCACCGTCGTGTTACGAGGTAAAGACGATAATCACTCTGCCGCTGACAAATTAATCACTAACAAAATAAACCTACGCATTCAAAAGACTCTTAAACCCGATTTCTCGTTTCTTAAAAAACATTTTTTCCACATTACACTTATAAATAGGGAGGGTAAATATAAATATAATAAACAATAAGAAATTAATGCAAACATTTAATTGAAGCTTTTTTAAATAATTTATTGTCGTAGACCTACCTCAATAATCAATAGGTGTCTACAACAAATTTGTAGGTTAGTTTGTTTGTCGTATGATAATTTTTGTATTCTATGAGCATGTTGTTTATTGTTTGTTTACGTTGAAATAAAGTACATACAGTTGCTGACTCACACGTCATTACGGATCCACCCGATTCACTAAGACAATTATTGGACGCCTGTAGATTTTAACACTAGGAGCAGGCATAGGGTGTTTGGTAACCGTACTCGTTGAACTCGTCAAAGAGTTAGACGTGAAACTTAACCCGTTTATCAGCCCATTGAATTTTGCACTGGATCTTCTCAGCGGGTCGTGATTCCGATCCGGTAGTAGATGCATTCACCAAGTAGCGGCCCTTGAGCTGTTAGCTAATCTCACCCCTCTTGGCTCCCGTACTTGTCCACTTGTCCTGGTGAAATTGGACATCCGGGCGAGGATATAATTCCTCCGATAAACCCTCTCCGAGGATTGTAGATAATTCCTCCTACCTCAAAAAAGTTGCTGTTCGTATGAAGAGATTTCTGGTACAATTCCACCAACTTTTCATCCGCACGCAAGCCGAGTTTGTTCTTGATGCTTTCATATCTTTACTTAAGCAATCGTCATGAAATACATGTCATATAATACTGAAGGTGTATACTGTAATACTGGGAGTAGGTGACAGATGGTGATTAAAGAGGAGTCTCCTGGCGAGGAGCCTCTTTGACGCGATGGCACACGCAACACATCTGCTCATATTCAAGAGCTGATCGCAGATAGGCAAAAAAAAGAAAAAAAGTACTGAACAGGAAATATGTACCTATGCAACGTTTCATTTAGAAAACTGAGATTTAGACTCGTGTCCCCAGATGAGTCGCGGCATTTACGTTGTTGATGTCTATTGGCTCCGGTAATCACTTAGCAACAGATGGGCCGTGATCTCATCCACCCGTCTACGCAATAAATAAAACAAAAGAAGACTACTATTCCTGAAGAACATCTTATTAGTTTCTACATGAACTCAAGCGACGCCGCGTGACTAAACTAGTACCTCTCGTAAATGCAGTGATAGTGAAAACAAAGTTTGAGGTAACAAAGAATACCTAGCAGTAATCAGGAACACTTATGATCTTTCAATTTATAATTGATCACATTCTGACCGCACTGGTCGCACATCACTAGCTCAATGTGCTCCAAAATATGTACGTCCAAATCCTTGTCGCTCGTAAACTTTGCGTCACAAATCCGGCACTTAGCCTTGTGGTTGTCGTGTTGTAAACAGTGTCTGGATAACGACGCTCTGGTAGCGAAACTACGACCGCACGAATCGCAAAGGTGCCGGATGGGTTCAGATCTCTCTGTGTGCTTTTTCACGTGCTGATACATTTCCTTGCGATCCATTGAAGTTTCGTTGCATACTTTGCATCTGAAAATTTAATGTTTATTCTATATTCGCTAATGCTGATGAGCTTGCGAGTTTTGAATACTCATGAACACAGTTCAGGCTTTACAAGTCATTTCAAAATAATTATAGATGGTTTGTTAAGCCCTGCAGACCTACAAATGTATATTTTTAATGTTTTGAGATTTTTTTAATTAAAGGCTCAGGATTAAGAACTTTCCTTATTTCCCTACCAATTATGCTACTCCTCCCCTTGATTCGCGCTACTTAAGTATATATAATAGGACTTGTGTGAGTGCATGGGTCAGTGCAACTGTCCTACCTACTTCTCCCACAAAGCAATCTTACATTCTGCTCTGAAGTGTCAGACAGCTATTCCAGTACATGCAGTATGACACCCAAATTGACTATATGCAGATCTTTAGGAACCTCTGTGGCAATACAAAAGAGGGTCTATTAGGAGGGGCACTGGATAAGCAAACCTACCTTAAATATTATCTACATCAAATATATTACATGTTCTAAATTAAACCTTTTCCAAATTTATTTAAAGTTAAGAAAGTATAAAATAAAAAAAGTAGATTACTTGTAAGCCACATTTGCAGGTTTTTTATGGTCCTCATTCCTGTGTTTTAATAAAGCATCAGATCCAATGAATGTATGACCACATATATCACAAACCCTCTGATCTGACTTCAATACATGCTCCTTTGCATGCCTGTAAAGCTGGAATCGATCTTTGAAAACATCACCGCATTCCTTGCACTTGTATCCCCAACCCATGGACTGAAGCTGGTCTGCATAACAGGTCTGTCTATGCCTCATTAGCATCTCCTTGTTGTTGAATGTGTCACCACACTCACAAGTCACTGGAAATGGTTGATTGTGGGTAAGTAAATGTTGTTGCAGCTTCGTCTTTGAATCAAATAGTATATTGCATTGGACACAGTTACGTTGTGATCTATCACATGTGCTGATATGTTGTGATAGTTTTTGGATAGTGTCAAATTTTAGTTTACATGCGAAACATACTAGTGGATTGTTATCTTTTTTATTTGTTTTTAATTTTGTATCCGATTCCTTCAATATTATTTCTTTAACTATTTCGACATCCGAATCTAAGACATCTATCTCCATTTGCAAGTTTTTCGTTTTCTCTTTTTTCTTGGGGCTGCATTGTTTAATAGTTTTGTTCATGTTTTTGACAGAGTCATTTGTATGCTCATTTCGATCAAGCATATTAACTATCGATGGTATATCCTCTTTTCCAAGGTTATTCAGGTATTCTTCAATGTTTTCGGTGTTATTCAAAAACTCCAACAACGAATCCGAGTTGTACTCGGAGTCTGGTAGTGGCTGAACGGTTAGTTTAGTTTCAGTAGTCTTTTTACATTTTCCTTGTAAGCAAGACTCTAACCAGTCTTGTGAGCACCGTGCATTCAGTTGAAAATTGTAAAATTGGCTTAACTGGTCCACACAAGAAACGCAAATATCTTTTGGAAGATGGTCACCGGGTGAAATCGTAATTGTGAGGCAGGATTTCAAATGTAAAACGATTGTTGGATCGTTGAGGATGCAAACATGATTTGAATTCATATCTAAACAGATCCGACAGCATTTATCTATGTTTTCACACATTGTTTAGATTTATTTAGATTTTCGATGTACGAAAACATTGACTGGTAGGTACGGTACTTTTTTTTGAAGATTAGACATTTCTGATAAGAGATAAAAGTTAACAGTGCTGTACGATGTGCATATTATTTACATATTAGTGTATATTCTATGATCAAAGTAACAGTGACACATAGATGTATTATGAGTGCAGTTTCTTGATTAATACTGCCGACTATAACTGACAGCTATGTTACCTTATTGGTATTTTGTTTGTTCATCTGAAGTTTCTTTAAATGACTGATTGCGAAGGACGTTAACAACCTGTCCGTGGATTCTGGCTGCCCTGCACAGCCTAATAGCTGCTATTTTAATTTCCTGATAACAGACGTAAGCTTCCATTGAATTTTCAATTAAGTTAGTTTAATTTTTTGGCTTTTTTGATTAAATCTGTGCATTTTTAAAACAATTGATTTTATTTAATTTTACTTTTCAATACATACTATTTGATGGACCCAAATGAAAATAATAAAATAAAAAATATGTAGAACAACTAATGTGCTACCTATTTCAATATTCTCTTGTATTAATTATCCGCTCTTTTTTTGGATAAGCGGATGGATTTGTTATAGACACGTAACAAACACGTAACAGATCCATCCGTTTTTTCATTTAATTTTTATTGCTCTGTATGATGTTGTTTTCTATAAATTTACAGATTTCTAAAATTATTAATTATTAATGCATTCTTAAACTAGTATAATTGATTTGTTACTATAGAAATTTCATAAAGCACATGAAGCGCACAAACTATTTGTACATCACCTATCGTAAGTTGATTGTACTGATGCAAGTTTTAAGCTATAGCATAGCTTTTATCGCGGGCTTTGAGCGTGGCTACCGAATCAAGAAATTCCGTAACGAAAATAAAACCTAAAACCCACCACTCCACCAACCATGTAGCTCGCGTTCAACACATTCACACGTTGTGCTTGTGTATTATTTGTGAATAAGCGCGCGGCGTGACGTCACACTGCATGCGCATCATGAAAAGTCTGCTCATCTCTCTCTCGCACGGTCTAGCTTATGAGTGTGAAGGGGACAGTTATTGTTTTACTGTTGCTAATGTTTATAAATATAGCGTGGTCTTATTTTATTATTGTCTTAATATTAAATTATTATTGTCTAATTATAATTGCATAAGTTGATGAGAAATGCTATGTAATAGCTTTACCGTGTCAGTCCCTGAGGGCCCTACGAGCTTTTTATTTTTTTTGTTTAAAATTTTCATTTAAATGCATAGATTTATTAAAACCTTATTTATGTATATCCTATAAATTACTAATATCAACGATGTGATCACCAGTTTGTAACAGTGACTACCTACTGTATTCCGGTTTTGTTCCAAATCATGACCAATATTTTGTGAAAGTTTTTTGGTTTTCCGAATCTGTGTGTTCCGATATTCCGATACACGGAAAAATCTTACTTTACGATTAATGAAGTATAGTGGAATGTTTACTTAATAAAAATCAAAGAGAAAGAAACTAAAGTAACTCGAATATTATGTCTCCTATTCAATATCCTACATAAGCCCACTTCTCCCTTATATTTACGTGAGCGATTCTCTTTCATTCGTTCTCCTGATGCTCCCTGCAGGTCCAACCAACGTTCTGTTTTGTTATTCCCTTCCCACAAAACCAATTTCTATTCTCACTCCTTTACTGTGCACGCGGTCAGACTGTGGAATTCGTTGCCGGCTGACATCCGAGTTTGCAAGTCTGTTTCTGTTTTTAAATACAAGGTCAAACAATTTTATCTCTCATCAACCGAATGATCATGGTTCTATACTCTTCGCATATACGAGTGTTACTGTGTTACTTATAATATTTGCTATGTGTATGTGCTATAATTCTCATGTTGTATTTGTTATTTTAGTTATGTGTTAATTGTTCTACACACACTTATCACTTTTTATTATTATTCTCATTATCCTCTCGCAGGTCTGCTGGAAGAGATTTCTCAAAGAAATAAGCAGTGCCTTTGTACATAATTTTCCTATTACTCTGTACTGTGTCTTGTTTTCTGTGTGTACATAAATAAATAAATAAAAAAAAAAAGTAACATTAGATGAAGCTCGTAGATACCATCAATTGTTCATCGCCATTTCCATTGCCCACTGAATTTCTCACCGGATCTTCTCAGTGGGTCGTGTTTCCGATCCGGTGGTAGATTCTACGAAGCACGGCTCTTGCTAGGGTTTGTGTTAGCAGCATCGGCAGGTTTGAACCCCGTGAGCTCATCTACTGGCCCGGCGACGCTGACATGCTCTCTCTTTACCATCAGCTTAGGTAGGAAAAAAAAACCATTTCCCATACGGTACGTTTTCGAGCTTTCCTTGCTTTGATTTTTGTAAGGTAAGTCAAAAATCGGACACAATGACGAAAATTGGAAGAGGCTTATATTTTCATCAATACTATGTGGTCTAATAATGATAAATAATTTTACATTTTTGATAAGTATTATTGGTTTTTTGGTTGCACCATTATTAACTTTTTATTTTTTTTTATTTTATTATTACCTATTAAATAGGTAGGTACGTAGTGTTAATTACTTAGTCGTATGTACATCACTATATCGGGACTTAAATGTCAAAGTGCAAACTGTCAAACGTATTAAGAATGGTGTTCCTATGAAATCTTATTCATTCATAAACATAATTTAATAATAATGCCATAAACATTGTTTGAGTAGCACAATAAAAGTTTTCGTAGTTACCCTACCCTACATTGTCTTAATTTAAGTGCACGGTTCATTCGCTTAATAATTCTGAACATCTTAAGTTTCCGCACATCAGAATGTCGAAAGAAGACGAAAATGCGGGTCTAGAAGCCCAAGAGTCGCTTCTGTATTCAGCTAGGCACGGTGAATTACTAGTCGTCAAATCGCTCTTGGAAGCCAAATCGGAAGGAAAACTTTCATTAGATATTAACTGCAAAGGTAAAACTGTAACTTCATGTCATATTTAATTTCTTGTGCAATATAGGATGAATAATGGAGCTTAATGATCGTATATTACGCTTGTGACAATGATTGGAGGGGTTCATGTACTCCCTTTTACCAGTTACAACTGTAGTTTCAAAGATGGGTGCTGTAAAAAAGAGGGTTTTCTTCATTTTAATCTTAATTATGCCTGTTGCTATACCATGAAATCCTACAGGCTAAAACTTCTGTATGTTTTTGAGATTTCTGTATTTTGGATTACACTTTAGCTAGAAGCTCACTTTAGCTACATTCTAACAAAAGCTTTGTAGTTTTGCGCCAATAAGCACGGTAAAATAAACAGTTACAATGTTTGGTCACATCTAACATAAATGAATCACTTAGTTATCAGTTTGATTAGTTAAAAAATTAAGGTAAAGTTTTTTGACCTACATTTTTTATATAATAAAAATGTACAGTACCCTAAAACCATTATCAAATCTTTGTAGCTATTTAAGAAAATAGGACAGGTTTTTAAAGTTACCAAATATTGAATAGAAGCATTTTAAAATTTTAGGTAAAACTAAAAGCAACTTAGGATGGACACCGCTTCACTTGGCAACCTATTTTGGTCACGTGGATGTAGTGAAGGCACTGATAGATGCGGGAGCGAATGTAGATGAGGTTAATGACACTGGTGATACAGCACTACACAAAGCTTCATTCGTTGGGAATGAGGTAAAATAATGCTTTAATTAGTAGCACTAAGTTCACATCCAATCAAGTATTGTGCATTATTAAATCAGAAATCAATACACCTGGAAATTTAAACCTGAAATTATGAAGGTTAAAATAATATCTTCTACTCCACTGAGTTTAATTACATCCACATTACATTAGTCTCACTAGACTAATGTAATTTGTAATCATCTATATTTTTAATTGATTACTTTTGTTGTTCAGTAAAGATCTATAATCTACCCAGAACTATTATGCCATAAATGTTCGAGTGATCATAGCAAGTGCTAATGATAATGGATATTCCTAGAAGGCCTAGGATAATTTTCTCCTATACAAAACTGGAATACATTTCCAGAATATGACCCTATTACATTGTAAAAATTGCAAAATTATTGAAATTTTGGGGCAATAAAGAGACCAAATATGCAATGGTTTTGTTTAAACGAATACGTCAAGAATAGCTTGTTTGTTTTTTGTCTAAGGAACTAGTAATACTTCTACTCAACAAGAAAGCAGATGTAAACATTATGAATGGTGAAGGTCGGACAGCTTGTGATGTTTCAAAGACAAGGGATGTTCAGAGATTATTGGAAGCTGCAAAAAAGTCTGAGAGAAATGAACAAGAGAGAAAGCTGCTCACTGCAGCTAAAGAAGGCAGGATTGACGATATACAGATTCTGGTAAGTTGTAGGAAAGATAATTTGTATGTGGTAGTTGATGTAAAATAGTCAATAAAGGCCTTTAAATACTATATAATGTTGCGTGCCTGCCAAACTGGAAAGTGACTAATAAAATATAGTCTCGTATGTGAATGAAAACATTTAAAATTTTAATGTTTTTGACCACTAAAACTAAAGCACTGGAATCAGAAGTGAAAGTTTTCGTAATTGTTTATTTTTCTGAAAATTCCTCAAAATTCTTTGTTAAAACTCATATGTTACATTTACAATTCATTTTTCAGCTAAGCGGTCCCAATCCGCCTAACATAAACTGTGTAGACGCGCAGGGAAACACGTGCCTCCACTGTGCCGCCTACCGTGGACACACGAGACTCGCCATTCTGTTGTTGCAGCACGGTGTGGACACCACACTCAGGAATAATAGTGGTGAGTGTCGATTCAACTTTATAAATTTGAATTAATTAGATTGACAAATGCGGTAATGGTCTGAAGCTTGTCCATGTAAAAAATTTACTGAAAATTGCAAATAATTTGGAATGTGAATGAATCAAACAAAGTTCTGAATAATTGAAGAATAGTACAGTTCAGATATATCATTTACTTGGTCAGCACTTAACACTAGCTCGTTTACTATACTTCCCATTAAAAAAAAATCAACTCCTCTTAATGAAATTCCCATATATTCCAACAATATTTTTACTATTTAATTTTGCGTTACCTAACAACATGTGCACTAATGGTATTGACATTCAACATCAATACAGCTTTAAGCTTTTAAATTATTAGCAATAGAAGTGACTTTGTTTAAAACTAAGTTCACTTAATTGTAATCAGACAGGGTGTGAAATGGTCAACAACCAAATTCGTTTAATCTGGAGTTTTTTACTGGGGTCTTTATAATATTTCAGACGTTGCACATATTTTAGTTTCTCTACAATCGCGGGCGATTAAACTGTAAAATTTGTTTTAAACACTTCTACGACTCAATTGAAGAAAATACTATCTATCTATCTATCTTCTATCTATATATATATATAAAAATGAATTGCTATTTGTTAGTCTCGCTAAAACTCGAGAACGGCTGGACCGGTTTGGCTAATTTTTGTCTTGAATTATTTGTGGAAGTCCAGAGCAGGTTTAAAAGGTAGATAAATATGAAAATACTCAGAATTAAATAAAAATAACAATTTTGTTTTCCCTTTGATGTGTCACCCGTTCGACGGATTCCTTTTGTTTGTTTTAAGTTTATTTTATACAAAAGTTTAGGTCTTTTATTTATCGATTGAGGCACTACGAAGTCTGCCGGGTCAGCTAGTACAGTCTATAACTTTAATCAGGCAACTGTCGATACGTGGTTGCAAATCCGATATTTTTGTAAGAGTCCGTGGACTGCAGGGCAGCTGGCCACGGAGCTGTCCCGGGACGCGGAGATGCGCGAGGTGCTGTCGGTGCGGCCCGTGCAGCGCCTGCAGCACGCCGCCTCCCGCCACCATGGGCCTCTTCTCAAGCGGGCCAGGTTCCTGGGCTGGAGACCTGTCTGGGTAACTAGTCAATAATCTGGTGGTAGGACCTCTTGTGAGTCCGCGCGGATAGGTACCACCGCCCTGCCTATTTCTGCCATGAAGCAGTAATGCGTTTCGGTTTGAAGGGCGGGGCAGCCGTTGTAACTATACTGAGACCTTAGAACTTATATCTCAAGGTGGGTGGCGCATTCCCATTATAGATGTCTATGGGCTCCGGTAACCACTTAACATCAGGCGGGCTGTGAGGTCGTCCACCCATATAAGCAATAACAAAAAACTGTTTTTTTTATTTGGTCACAGACCCTTAGAATTAAGTTACAGATAAGCACACTGACATCGACTTCGTTCTATGTGGCAGGCGGTGCTGCAGCGCGGCGTGCTGCTGTACTACAGCAACAAGGCGGCGGCCCGGGACAGCGGGCGCTGGAGGAGCCGGAAGTACCTGGACGGAGCGAGGCTCGCCGCGCCCGCCGCCGAGCCCGCCATCATCACGCTCAGCTTCAGCGACGGCGACTCGCACAAGCTGGCCGTGCCGCCCGTCGAAGATATAGCTGCAGCGCGCCAGGTGCAATAATTGTTAGATATAATACTCATTGTAAAAATAAATATTTAAAAAAATAATCTAATGTTTAAAAAAAAAGCATGCCGCTAAGTTTCTTGCCAGTTCTTCTCAGGACGGAGGCTAGTTTTTGTGAATTGGCGGTAGTTTCTTTTTGACATTCAAAAAGTATGTACTTTCATTTATGTTGAATAATTTGTTTTCATTTGATTTGATTTGGTAACAGAATGAGCGAGGAGCCGTTGCCAATCGACCTAAGTACGATACGATATATTATATTTAAATTAACGCCATCTGTCGGCTGTAGTAGTAACGCGGTGGCAACATCATGATCCCACTAGATGGCATTCTACCACTCTCGAATTACTTAAATTATCGCAGTTTCAGGGCCCTGGCGAACGGATCACTTGAAGCGAAGCGGAAAAAGTGAATTACGAATTGTAAAGTTGTTATAAATGTTTAATAGAGTTTTAATTTGTACTTCGGTAGAAGATTTATTTATCCCGAACCCCAGCGCATAACAGTAGTAAACAATAGTTTATACTCAGTTTATACTTAGTTTATACTCAGGTCATATGAACAATAGTATGTACTCAGGTTTATAGGGTGTAATTTATTGTTTCGTAATTCACTTCTTCCGCTTCGCTTCAAGTGATCCGTTCGCCGGGACCCTGAAACCGCGATACCCTAAGACAAATATTTTTTCTGTTTGGAAACTAGCGACATCTTGTAGCGGATGCCCCTAAACTTATATGTTGTTAAACTTAAGGCATCTAATTATTGTATAACTAAACACAGAAAAAAAAAACATGCAAGTCGTTATTTGTTATAGACAAATTGATTAAATTTTATATATTTGTGGCTTCTAAAAATTTATAAAATCCTTCATTAAAAGTAAAATATAGGATAGGTAATATGTTACTGCCATCTGCAGGAGCCATGAGAAAGTAATCGAAGCGAAGCCATCTAGTGGCCGACGCCCGTAAACAATTTTGTTGGATGCTTGAGTTGCTTATCTACAGCTAATTTATGTGTATTATCTATGCCGTTCGTTATTTGGTTTCGATTAGATCCGATTACTTACTGCCTTCGTGCCGTCTCTGCGCTTTTATAGTCGATACAAAATCTCTACAATTATCGAGAACACGCCTGATAGGTCGAGTAGTTTCGATATGTGTTTCCGTTATGTGATAATAGATGGCGTTGCATTTCTCGAGCGTTCTTGATTTTACTAGTTCTTTTAATATTCGTTTCTGCTGTTCGACGACAGATGGTGTTAGTCTCACCGGCGTAACAATACTGTTAATATAAACTACTAGCTGACCCGGCAGACTTCGTAGTGCCTCAATCGATAAATAAAAGACATAAACTTTTGTATAAAATAAACATAAAACAAACAAAAGGAATCCGTCCGACGGGGGACACATCTAAGGGAAAACACAATTGCTATTTTTATTTAATTCCGAGCATTTTCATATTTATCAGACCAAAATTAGCCAAACGGGTCCAGCCGTTCTCGAGTTTTAGCGAGTCTAACGAACAGCAAATCAATCGAATACTTCATTGCTAAAGGTCGTGTCACTGAAAGCCCTTCCTGGCTCTTTGTACCATCAGCTTCCATTTGCTTCGGTTTTCGGCTTCTCTCAGGGCGTTCGCAACAGAAAGTCCAGTGAGCGCAGTTATCTGATCCGACCAACGGTTTGGTGGCCGGCCGGCGGGTCTTTTCCCTTCTACCTTGCCCACCACAATCAATCTTTCAAGGTTGTCTATATAAACCTGAGTATTTGCTATTGTTAATGGCAGGCGTGGGTGACAGCCTTAAACGAGCACATCGCGTACTCCGGACACTACCTGTGGGCCGGGGCGTCGCCCGACACGGCCAAGGAAGCCACCGAGGAGTTGGACGAGGAGACTAAGCCACTGGGTAAGCTACATCTCATTGTGAAACCTACCTAGGGCTCAGGTAATGCGGTCATAAACAAATAAAAAAAAAGGATTGTGTGGTTTTATGAAACCATGGTAAAAGTGAAACTTTTTTTCACATTATAGACATTTAACTATGACAAACAACATTTACATTAAACACTGACAAAAACAAAAACAAAATAGCGTCTAGCACTGGCACAAATGAGTTATAGTCTATACATTACACGGTCAGCTGCTGCGAACTATATGCGCCGTCATATCGGCCTTGGCTGCTCTGACGAGCGCCTTTGACTTTATCCCTACTCCGCGGCCGACCGTCACGCGACATGCAACACAGTTCAGTTTCACTTTAAAAATTACATTTGTTAATTGTAATTTGCACTGAAGAATTAATAAAAATAATTGTATTTTTGTTGTAACTATTATTTGCAGTCGTAACGAAATCAGTATACGTTTTTATTACTTATTAAAAAAGTGATTAATTTTACTGAATACCTCTACTTTGTTCTCACATTAAACTCAAAAGACACGGGTTCGTTTTGGATCTCTTCAATGACACATAGCATTACTGACAGGTACCATGCAGGACGCGCTGACGGCCGCGACGAACAGTCTGGCGCTGCTGGACACGCAGTTGCGGGAGTGCTCCGCCATCGTGGCGGCTCTGGACAAAACGGTCAACGTCAGCAACTCCCTGCACCATTCGGCGTACATGGTGAGCGGGGCGTGGCGGGACGGGGCGGGGCGGGGCGTGACGTGTCGCTGAGCGTGTGTCGTGTTGCAGCGGTTCCAGCACGCGAGCGGCAGCGGGCAGGCCGCGCTGGCGGCGCTGCGGCACGGCGCGGCGCTGGTGCAGCAAGCACGCGACGCGGCCGGCGCCAGACTCGCCAGGGAGGTACGCCGCCATTATAATATATATGTACGCAATGATTGAGCGCCGTCTTTAATGAATGAATGAATGAATACTGAACGGCAAGGGTGTTACGGTAAATATAATACAATACCTATAATACAATCGAAGACATGATTGGATGTAGGGGATATGAAACAATTTGTGAATTTTGAGAAAACGGACAAGAAACCTTTGTTACTTGTACTTTTTTTACATAACTCCCTCATCACATGCGATTTCTAAATATAGCCTTTAAACTTGGAGTTTTAAGATCTAATATGGTTTATAGGCACATAACACTCATAACCTCTTCATCCACTCATGTCTTCAATTAACGCCATCTACGAATTAAAGCAGCACCCGGTGGCATTACAGCGCTACTAGGTCATTTTTTTATTGAGAGTGTTTTAGCTGTAGAAATGTAGAGATTTAGCTGCGATCAAGCCACTGGACCATTGTACACTGTGGCGGTAGCCATCACAGAACGCAAGATATTTGACAGATGCCTGAATCTCGCTTACGACATTTTCAAGATAAGCTTACATACAAGTTCCGAACAACATTGGGACCGTCGGTCTACCGAGTAATATCTCCTGCTCGGTGGAAGATCTTCCCTTTATCGTACCTATACACCACATCCTTGCAAGTGCCGACAGCGCACACTCGCGCCGGGCTCATTAGACCCTCCATCGGTCAGCAAGAGTGACGGTAACCGTTAACCTTCCCGCGTGTCGGGCAGGTGGAGAGGAACCGGGTCCTGGAGGAGGCTCTGGCCGCGTTGGCGAGGACGCACCACGCGCTGGAGATGTCGGTTGCAGAGGAACTCACTAAGGTAATGCGCATCGACCTCACGCGGCTGTCCGTTTGTGTATTGTGTCTTATATTCTACTACTTTTTTTTATTGCTTAGATAGGTAGATGAGCTTACAGCCCACCTGGTGTTAAGTGGTTACTGGAGCCCATAGACATCCACAACGTAATAGCGCCACCCACCTTGAGATATAAGTTCTAAGGTCTCAGTATAGTTACAACGGCTACCCCACCCTTCAAACCGAAACGCATTACTGCTTCACGACAGAAATAGACGAGGTGGTGGTACCTACCCGTGCGGACTCACAAGTAGTCCTACCACCTTCCGTCCTGATTATTACTATCTTGTTTTAACTTGAGCAATTCAGATGAGCTCAGTGTGGCTCATGGCGAGTGGTGACCGTCTAACGCCGTACCCGACGTGAGCGGTTCTTATCAAGCCACAAGCAAACCTTGCTCAAATACTACAGCTGAGCACATTCTGAAGCCGAATGATGCTCAGGGAGGGGAACCATCCTCGGAGTCTCTGCGTGCTAGATAGTCTGCCCGCGTACTCAAGCGCAAGGAGAGATCACGTGCTCATGTATACTAACAAAATTTATTCTGATAATTTAATTGATGCGTTGTCAATTTTATCAGGGCATGAGAAAGAAGAAGTCGTCATCGACTTTGAACGAGTCGAACGATAATTTCTTTGATGTTTTCGACGGTGAGTGCGTGTCGATAGTCTTGAATAGTTTGGTCCAGTGGCTCCCCAGTGATCTGCCCCCCCCCCCCCTCCCAAGTCTAGTGGCTACTCACTAGTGGACGATCGTCCCCCCTGCCATTGTTCTCTAAGAACCTACCTTTAGTGAAGATCCGACGTCATCTAGGCGATGCTTTTTTTTATTATTCCTACCTAAGCTGAGAGCCTTGAGAGGCTATATTAGCGTAACCTTAACTAGTAGGTGAGCTCACGGGGCTTAAACCTGACGACGTTGCTAACACGAACCCTAGCAAGAGCCGTGCTTCGCAGAATCTACCACCGGATCGGAAACGCGAACCACTGAGAAGATCCGGCGAGAAACTCAGAGGCGGGTGTCTGTGGGTTAGGCGATGCAATGATGGATATATGTATGTGTCTTGTATGTATCTAGCGTATGCTCACGAATGACTTTTACGATGAAAGAATAATATCGTGTAATCAAAAACAAAACGAAAATTTGCTAAATCCCGGTGACGAAGTATGTATATTGTTAGCCCACGCTAGTCACTACCATCATCCTGCCTAGTTCCGCCGCGAAGCCATGGAACTCACTATCACGGGGGCCGCATGCTGGACCTTCTAAGGCAGTGAAAACGTATATGAAGGTGTAATATTGAATTCGCCCAGGCTCCGACGACGAGGACGACACCCTGGTGACGGCGGGACTCTCCAGCCCGCTCGGCGCGCTCAGTCCCTGGGGGAGCAGCCCGGACCTCGCCAGGAGGACGCCTCTAGGGAGTCCTGACGGTATCCGAAACTAACTAGTCTTTACTGGTGGTAGGACCTCTTGTGAGTCCGCGCGGGTAGGTACCACCGCCCTGCCTATTTCTGCCGTGAAGCAGTAATGCGTTTCGGCTTGAAGGGTGGGGCAGCCGTTGTAACTATACTTGAGACCTTAGAACGTATATCTCAAGGTGAGTGGAGCAGTTACCATTGTCCACCATATGTCCATTTTACGATATTGATATTTTTATAATTAAAATACAAATATCGACAAAGTCACGTCATCATGAACCAGACTTGTTAAGTAATGGGTGCTTCACTTATGCGTGCGTGTTTAAAATCAGATCAGATTAACAATTGCTGTAAAGTTGAGATCGCGAGTGCGTCTGAGGTCGGAGGGCTCGTTCCGCAGGCGACCGCACTCCGACCAACGAGGAGGAGGTCCCGGCGGTGAGCCCCGCGTCGTCCCGCGGCACGCTGGTGTCGGCCGGCGGACACGTGTACAGGAACGCGCGCCCCTACGCGCCCTGCACGCGCCGCAGGTACGTGCCCCCCCCAACTTTATCACACGCGATTTCTAAAAATAGCCTTTAAACCCGGGGTGTTAAGGTCTATATGGTTTATAGGCACATAACGCCTAAATTCAATGTAAAAATTCAAAAATCTTAAAAATTGTACTTAACCCCTTCATCGATTCATGTCTTCAAGTATCAAATTCACAATAATATACACTTGTATACTTGTATACAATTGTAATTATAAGCCTACTACACTGGCGCTTGCCGCCACCCTGCTCATCACCACGAGGACACATACCAGTTTGAAGGGGGAAGCAATCCTGAAACAATACAATTTGAGATTTCGACTTCATCTGTCGGGGTCTACATATCTCTCTAGATATCTCTTTCTCTAGATTAGATGGACCTTTTCTGAATCATTGCAGAGAGGTCCACAAAATTTTCTCATAATGCTGCTATTGCAATCGTATGTAGTATGTATGTTGTTGTTTTCTTTTATTACTGTGTCCTTACTAACTTATTTTGAAGAAATAACTGTATATGGATCTTTATCTGAAATAAAGAATTTAATAATATGCGTCATTATACGAAAAGAAAATAAAATCCTCTGTTTCTTATGAAACTTTATTATGAAGAGGCTGAAAGGTCGCGTAAAAAAAATCATAAGTTGTTTTTTTTTTCAGTTCGGAGTGTTCGTTTTGATTCGCGATAAAATCCCTGGGTGACGATCGTAATTAAAAAAAAAATATATATTTCATTAATTAACGCACAAAACAATGACAAGGATGCACAATGTGTACATTCAAAACGAAAAACCATTAACTGCAATTATATTAAAAATATAATTATATAATAATAATTACAAAAAAAATATCACCGAAAAGAAAAATACACAATTCCGTGGTTATCGTCACCGACAATAAAAAAATTAAAATCATTTGCATTTATACATATTTTATTTGGTTTAAAATTAAATAATTAAAAACTTCATTTTGCCTACAAAAATACTTTTTTTGGGAAAATTTGAACTGAATGAAATTATATGTATCGCGAGTGCTAAACGAATAAAAAGTATGAGCTTAGTTCTCACTTGAGTGCTCATAATAAATAATGCCTTTCTGTAATAGATATACACTGTAGCCATTATGGAACTACAGTTAATTTAGAGCTCGCGCCCAATGCGGTTTTAGCATTGTGATGCCCATGGACTAGAGTAATATAGCTTGTAAAATTATCAATTAGATAATCCTCTAACATTATTATTCACAAATTGGAAGCAACTAACCAAATAATGTCAAATATAGTGCCATTGATTTTACCAAAACAACGATAATTACCTACTTAATATTTATTAATTATAAAATAACATTTTTAATTTTAAGTGAAAGCTTACACTTCGGTTTTAATTTGTTATTCTTATTAAAGCTTAGAATCTCTACATTATGCGTGGTGTGAACGCTTCCGATTTAATATTAATTTATTGCATATGGCAACATAATTACTATAGGCCCTTTTTTTAACGAGCTGAGAGAGACTTCATTTCAAAACAGAAATGTTGATGAACTCTACCAAAAATAATTAGTCAATTAATTTATTATAATAATAATAATTAATACAATTCGATTTCTTAATTGAGATAAGCTCATTTGAATGATTTCATAGAGCCGGTTCATATGGCAAGTAATGAATTTCAGTCTCTTTTATTGAAATGGCAACATAATTATTTACAAAGTGACAGTTAACTTTTTGCACTAGTTTCTTAGTGTTTTGGTATTTTAGAATATAATTAAGCCAAAATTAATGACGTTTACAAAACGTGACGTCATAACATACATATGTCGTAATGATTTCAAGTCACCTTAAATTAATATTTGGAAATAAAAAATATAATATTTCTATAAACAGTAATCAGATTCACTTAGTTCATTCTTAGAATCTAAACGATGGTAAAAACAATTTAATGGGTTTTTAATTATCAGTCCGATATAATATTTATCTCGCTGTGACGTCATTTCGTCAAGCCCACACTACGCAATCACCCCTGAAATTGTCTCTATTAAGTAAACAAGTCTTGTAGTCATTTGCCATTCACATTCACCTCGCCTTTTGATTTGTCTACGGCTTAAATCGTACAGAAAAACTAGTAAGTAAAACATACAAGGGTGATCAGTCAACCGTAATTGTGTAATCAGAAAATGATGGTCCATTGTTTTCTCATAAGTAAAACGCTCTTAATGTTATTTCAGCTTTGTATTTAAATATCTCACCGTTACTAAATAACTGTCCCGTAAATTTTATTTTAAAGGCACAGAGTACATACAATGTTGCGTCTGTCACATTGACGTAAAAAAACGCGGCAAATAATATCGCGCCGTATATATATGGAGGGTAGAAGGAAGGAGGATCATCTCAGTGTATTAAAAAGTGTCCGCTAAAAGGGACCCAAGGAACCCAAATAAAGTGTCGCCACAGGAGCAAGTGGAAAGATTTTAAAAACATACCTTAGACTATTAGAGGAGTAAGTTACTAAATTAAGAAGGATAGAAACGCTTCCATAATAATAAAAAAGTGTGTGTGTCCGCTCCGACGCACGACTGGAGTTTACTGGATATAAAAAATTAAACGAAACAATACGAGAAATAGTTCTATATTACGACAACACGATACACTACAGATTATTAACAAATTAACGAGACACAAAACAAACGACTAACAAATATATGAAAATACAATAATGAGAGAAACGCGCGATCAGTACGAGGCTTTGTGGCGGACTGCCGGCGCAGCAGCCCGGCGTCACCTGCGATAACGCGGCCGCGCGTTGGCTCCTGATTGGCGCGCGCACGCATCACGCAATCAGGAGCCAATCAGGCGCATAACGCATTTCGTGTGACATGCTAGTACGATTTTGGTCCCCATAATTTTCATACCCCGGGCCTATATATGTAAATCGATTCTTAAGGAGTAAACTCCAAAAAATAGTGGTCCCGCAGAAGTCGAAATACGACTATAATTAATTGAAATTATAAGTTTGTACACTATTATGATTCTATTGTCAAAAACTACACTTTAGACAAATATCATTAAAAACAAACAATATTTAATCTATTCTCAATTTGACCACAGACTGTAAGTAATAAGAAAAGTTTGACAATAAACAAATAGTATGCATGCGTGTGTGTGTCAAATAAAATACATGGTAGTGTGTGTGATGTTTTTTTTATTGATTTAATGTATTTTTATGCATAATTAAAAAAAATTAATAATATTCTGCACTCCTTCTCTATATTCTCAATAAGTGTGGGAAATTTCATACTCCTCCGTCCGCACAATTTTCGTAAAATCGGGTGGGTACAAAGTTTTTGCTTCATGTATCAATATATAGATAAATAGTTGAGATTTTAATTAATGCATATTTTTAACTACACAAGTCACGAAAAATATTAAATTTTTCAACTCGGCACAGTTCGCTCTGTTTAAAACTGCTATATCATTCTCATTTGCTACACTAGCGCTATTTCGGTGAATCGTCCAACAATAACTTGCTGTTTACAGCTCGACACTTTTTCAACTTGTCCCCTATACAAGATGGCGCACCTTACTTCTACCCTCTATCTATCTATCTATCTATCTATCTATCTATCTCTTAGGTTTATGACGTTTCCTTTTAGATTTCGCCAATGTCAAGTGTATTTAATACTCTGCTTTCTATAGCGGGCTTCGTGAACGAGCAAGGTCACAGATATTCACTAAGAATTAAGTGAGTAGCTAAGAATGACTTCTACCCTCCATATCGTACCGTAAAATGGGGCGATTAGGGACAAATTCCAACTTTATGAGCAATTTTAAGGTAGTTGTTGATGTATATAATGCTATATCAGGATCAAAATGGTTGAGTCTTGAGGGCATCTTTGTTGTCTAATTTAAAATTATGCAACTAGCATTCCAGTTTAAGCAAAAAATGCAAAAATAGGTGTAATCCCTATTTACCCTTAAATTGTGGTTAATTGGGACGAAATGAGAAATTTGCTAGGGTTGGCACTACTTTTATTTTTATATATAGTTTTAATTTATTTATTTATTTAGTTGCACCAACAAAGTGATCATCAATAAAAAAAATTGAAAACTGACAAAAGTACATGGCAGACATCACCTCAATTATAGGTGCAATCGACAGTGCATTAACAAAAAATATATATATATATATATTTATTTATTTATTTATTTATACATATATAGTGGGCTTTCTTAGAAACGGTTTATATTTCTCCATTCTTGGTAAGTACTTAGGGGCTGATATTTCTATCTGGGTTAAGAGATTAGGTGTGTCGGTTATTCCATGGATTAATCAGATGAATACCCCCACTCTGAACAAATATTAAATATTTTATTATGTATTACTTAGACATTTTGTCCACCTTGAGATTTCATTGATCTTGTTACATGTCTCTGCAAAATCGACTTACTTATATTAAATTGCTTATCTATTTCAACTAAAGACTTATTCCCAATTTCGCTTCGAATAAACCAGATTTTTACCAACAAATTTAAAAAATATTGTTATAACTACATAGACAACCCTACAAACCTGTACCTATTTATACTTAGGTCGTTTCCATTTCACGTATTCTCATCCCAATTGACCCCTTTTTCGTTGTTATTTGTACCTAAGACGTCCCCAATATCCCCAAAAACAACAGATTTTTACATGTATTTTTATTTAATCAAATACATTAAAACCAATAACAACTGAGACTTACCTTTAATATATATGCTGGTTCAAACACTAAATAACGTTTATAAATCATAGTCGTCTTCTATTATTATCAAATAAATAAAAGAGAGCAAAGTTTCTAGCACTAAAATAATTACCACCACAGGAAGTTAATTTGAAACGCGATTTTTTATAAGTTAGCAGCTATTATCATGCATATTCAGATTTGTTTTGTGAACTTTCAACATTCTACTATTAAACTACAAAAAACGGAAGATTTTGCAACGAATATAAAACTTATATTGAGCGT